AGAACACACTGGCTAGGCACCTAGGAACCTGAGGAATGCCAGAGTTTCCTGGGACTTCTTTTTGCCTCCCTGTCCCAGGTTGCTATCTGGAGCAGCTGGCAATCCAGGGATACCAACATACATTGATGTTTAAAAGACATAAGAAAAACCTATTTTTGTGATGGTGCCGGGGGGGGGGGAGAGCCTACTCTTTCTACAGAAAAAAAAAAAATCTGTATCCTTATTCCAACCAAAAAGATTTGGATGGGGAGACTCCACTTCCTCTCTTATTAGGTTGGAATGGGTTCAACTTTCCACTCACCCTAGGGTGGCAGCAGAGGTGGCCTTGGGGACAGGCAGGCCATCACACCCCATGCCTGCCTCCTTCTCACTCTGCAATGTCAATGGAGACCACATGGGGAGACTCGGCTTCCAACTCTGCCCAGACAGACTTCTCTCCCTATCATTACAGGGGTCAATGAAGGCCCCATGGACAGTCAGGATTTATACCAATGCCCATAGTCATGTGACCACCCCAAACCCACTCGGTGGAGGCCACGTGGGGGAGCACTCACGAGACATTCACATCTCTTCTAGCCAGAGTGGAATCCGTGAAAGCCTAGCGGAGAACTATCAATCCCACTCCTGTCCAGTAGTTCTGAAGACCCCAACCCAGAGGTCAACAGAGGCCCATGATAGAACTGGACTTTTAACACCAATTTAAGTAACGATGCAGCACCTCTCCTTCTCCACTAATAGTGTTGAAGAGGCCTCCCACAGTAGAAGACTTGTGTAGTATATGGAGCCTTGCAACACTCCAAATGTCTAGATTTCAATATAAAATCACTAATCACACAAAGAACCAAGAAAATCTCAAGTTGAGTGACAATAACCCACAGATGCCAGCAGAGATGACACACATGTTGGGACTTCAGGGCACAAGATTTTTGGAGTTTTGTATTTTTTAGGGAAGGGTCTACAGGATGTTCAGGGTCTCACTACTAGAACGGCCTCATAGTGATCTGCCTGTTTACAGCCTCCCAAGAGCTGGGATTAGAGGTGCGCACCACCACGCCCAGTCTGTCTCAGCACCGCCCCCTGGGGGCAGAGCTGGCACAGCAGGCCAGGGGATCGAACCCCTGGCCCCAGTGCCCGCTTGCAGGCGCTTTAATCTGCTGAGCTATTTGGCCGGTCCTAGGGCACAATTTTTTAAAAAAATAAAGTCTCAAAATAAATAAAATGGAACTGAAAAATACAAAACTGAAATGAAACTCAGAAATGAACTGAAAAATGAAATGGCTGACTTAACAGCACAAAAGTCAACACAGAAAGAGGAATCTTCTGTGAAATTAAAAACAGAATAGAAGTATACAATGTGAACAACAGATAATAGTGCTGTGGGCTGAACTATGTCCCCCACCCCCCAAAACCTCCAATGTGACAGTATTTGGAGATGGGCTAATAGGAGGAAATTAAGGTTAAAATCAGTTGTAAATTTGGGGTCTTCATCCAACAGGGTTGGTGGCCTTGTAAGAGGAAGACAGCTCTCTCTCCATACAAATGACTAAGGCCACATGAGAACACAGTAAAAGGCAAATGTTTATAAGTAAGGGAGAGCACCCATACCATGAACTGCATCCTGTTGGACTTGACTTTGGATTTGTAGCCTCTAGAACTGTGAGAAATAAATTTCTATCGTTTTTGTCACCTAGTGTATGTTACTGTGTTATGATAACCTGAGAAGATTGATTTTGGTCCTGGACAGTGGGGTCCTGCTGTAAGAAAAATACCTAACAATGTGTTCCAAAGCCTTGGAACTGGGTCCTCCTCAGTAGAGATTAGAGAGCTTTGAGGTGAATGCTAGACATACAACATTTAAAGGCTTTCTGGTGTGACTTAGATGGTAGTGAAGAACATGTACTGGTACTAGAAAGAGGATGCTTACCAAGTTGCAAGGAATGTGTCTGATCTGTACTCTAGTATTCTGAAAAAGGCAAAACTTGGTCCACTGCACATGGCTTCTCCCTGGGGCGGCAACTCCTGAGCAGGACTCACCTGACCCTAGGTCCTGAGTAACTGCTGAGCACCAGCAACTGTCACCATGCCTTGTTGCTTCCTCCAGGCCTCCATACGCATCTGGAACCCAGCTACCCATCCTTCCTGCCCGATCAAATGCAGCCACCTGTCCCAATGATTCATTACCAAGAGCTCATGTTACCTGGTTCCTGCTGCCAGAGAAGCCCAAGCCAAAGAGGGGAACAGGGTCATGGCCCAGAAAATGATGGCCACCAATACTTAAAACTTGTACAAAGAGTGCTCCTTCAAGGTACACCTGTGAGCCCACACGGGGAGGAGCCCAGCTGGCAAGCCCTTTGATCATGGTCCAGTTCCCAAGTCAGCCTGTGAGTGGATGGACAATCAAGAGGAAGGAGAAATATGAAAGATTACTTATTCAAAGAACACATGGGGAGATCTGTGACTGGATCTTCTATCATTCCAATTCCAAATCTGACTTGAACATGCCTGGACTTACAAAACACTATAGGAGAGACTGGAAGTTGTGGATACCAGGGTGTAAGTCATCCACGCATGGGGAGGGTGGTAAGACCAAGATTTTCTCGAATTGTGTTTTGATGCAATATAAAAATTTTTAAAAAGGCAAAACTTGGATGAAATTAAGTATTTAACAGAAGAAATTTCTAATCACTGTACTGCAGGTGTAGCTTTGATGTTTTTTGGTTATGGTGAGATTCTGTAGCAAGATGAATGATGGATGGAATGTCAAACCACAAGGAAGTGGAACTTAAAAACATTTGAAAAATTCTATTCATATAGCTAAAAGAGAAAACTATGAAGAAAGCACTAGGGATGTGGTTGAACAATCATTTAATGACAGATCACAGTGTGGCTTATGGCCTTACCCAGACACTTTACCTTTCTTTCAACAAGCCAGACAACCTTCAACTGGAACCTCAGAGACTAATCCACCCTGTAGAGCCCTGGAGGTGGTGCCACCTGGCAGAGCTAGAGTCTGAAGAAGGACTGCAGACCCAGTGGTGCCACAGACAGCATATCAAACCAAAGGGAATCATTTTAAAATCTTAAGATCTAATAGAATTTGGCTGGCTAGGCTTTAGGCTTGTTTGGGGGCAACATCCATTCTCTTTCCAATTTCTCTCCTTTGGTATGAGCATGTCTATAATCTATGCCAGGCTCATCACTGATTTTGGAAGAGCATACAGTGGTTTCACAGGTTCACAGCTGGAGAAGAACTGTGCCTCAGGATGAACTGTATCTTCTCTCTCTCACACATTTGGTTGACATTTGGATGAAATTTTGGACTCTGGATTTCATGGTTGATGTTGAAATGAGTTAAGATTCTGGAGGTTGTTAGGAAGAAATGGATACATTTTTCATGAATGGGTATGAATCTTGGCAGAGGTAAGATGCTATGGACTGAATTGTATCTCACTAAAATTCATGTTGAAGGTCTAATCCCCAGTGTAGCTATATTTGGAGACCAGGTCTTTAGGAGGTAATTAAGGTACATGAGGTCATAAATGTAGGGTCCAAATCCAATAGGAATAGTGGTCCAGTAAGAAAAGGGCAATAACTCTTTCTCTTTCCCTATATATGGACTAAAGAAAATCCACGTGAAGACACACCAAGAAGTGATCAGTACACATAGCCATCAGAAAACTAGGAAAACAATCCTAACCAGAAATTGAGTCAGAGGGCACCCTGATGTCAGACTCCCCAACCTCTAGGACTATTAGAAATACATTTATAGAGCCTCTCAAGTCTATGGGATTTTGCTGTAGTAGATCAAGCAAATGAACACAAAAATACAATGAAAAAAAAAATGAATGAAGGCTCTGAAACTTGTAAGACTGAAATCAAGAGTTGGACAGTTCTGTCACCAGAGTCCAGAGAAAAATGGGATGGGGAAAAGTGGGCTGAAAATTGAAGAAATGATGGTCTAAAAATTGAAATTTGGCAGAAGATGAAAACTTACAGATAGAAGCTCAATAAATTTCAAAGAAAAATATACAAAAAAGGAAATACACTAAAAAAAAAATCCTCCCATAACACCAACACAGATCATAGCAAAACTTCAAAAAATTTAAAACAGTACACTCAGTACTATTTCCAGTAATAACTTTTGAAGTTTCAATCAAAAATATATACACATAAAAATGTTATCAGCCTCTATAGGTAAAATGACAAAAGGCAAAAATTCCAAAGTCTTTTCAAGTTTCTCACAATCTAATATATAATGTCAGTGTAAAGCTACAATTCAATTTTACTATGGTATTAAAAAAAATCTAAGGTATAATCTACATAGGACTGAGGTAAATCTTTATAAATATTCTCAGTATATTCAGATAGCTTAAAACAAAATGAACACCTCAAACTGTCACCTCTACTTTCCCTCTCTAGGCTGTTAGCTTCCTAGCAAAGCTGCCTTGACAGAAACCACAACTGACCAACAAATCTAATGTCTTGCTGGTTGTGAAGTGAATGCAGTTGAGTAATTATCTGAAACAGCACTTCTTGGAGTCTCTCTCCCAATTCTTTAAGTCTATCCTTTCCATTTGTCTCTTTTATGTCCTATAATTAAGGGTGAAGGACAAATTCTATTTCTCCACTATTCCTGAATCTGGACAAACTTGTTAGGAATTTTCAATCTCTTATTTCTATATCTTCAATTTCCCTGCAAGAATCACTTGCCTCATTATAAGCTTATGTACTCAGCATAAGATGACCAAATCCAGCCAGTAAGTCCTCTTTCCATCATGCACATCCTATTTCTCTCAAGGATTTGGTTACCTACACACACATTATGCTGTTTGAAATAAATTTCCTCTTTCCCCAGGGAAATTTACAATGTCCTCCATTAGAACATTTTTTTTTTAAAAGGAAAACCTTTCTTTTACAGTCTAAGTAAGACCCACATAATGATTGAATAACTTTTAAGTGACAATCTTAACTTTCTTTGTAGTTCTCATAGTATATATGGTAAATATTCTACGATGATATTCTGAATGTGCCACTTATTTAGTATGAATTCTCTTATGTTGTACAAAGGCTGAATGCTCACTAAAGGCTTAGCCATATTCCTTGATTTTCCCTCCAGCATGAATTTTCTGATGTTGAGAAAGGGATGAACTCTGGCTGAAGGCTTTTCCACATTCCTTACATGTATAGGGTTTCTCACCAGTGTGAGTTTTCTGATGTTTTGTGAGCGATGAACTCTGGCTGAAAGCTTTCCCACAGTCCTTACACTTGTAAGGTTTCTCTCCAGTGTGTGTTCTCTGATGACGGATGAGGGCTGAACGGTCACTGAAAGCCTTTGCACAATCATTGCATTTATAGGGTTTCTCCCCAGTGTGAGTTCTCTGGTGTTGAGTCAGAGCTGAACAGTAGCCAAAAGCTTTCCCACATTCATTGCATTCATAAGGCCTCTCCCCAGTATGAGTTCTCTGGTGCTGAATAAGGCCTGAACGGTCACTAAAGGCTTTACCACATTCGTTACACTTGTAAGGTTTCTCTCCAGTGTGAATGACCTGATGCTGAGTAAGGAATGTGCTTTGGCTGAAGGCTTTCCCACATTCATTACACTCATAAGGTTTTTCTCCAGTATGAATCCGCTGATGCTGTGTGAGGTATGAACTCTGATTGAAGGCCTTCCCACATTCATTGCACTCATAAGGCTTCTCCCCAGTATGAATTATATGATGTCGAATAAGGGCTGAGCGATGACTGAAGGCTTTCCCACACTCATGACATTCATAGGGCTTCTCTCCAGTGTGAATTCTCTGGTGTAGAGTAAGGTGTATGCTCTGGCTGAAGGCTTTCCCACATTCATTACATTTATAGGGTTTTTCTCCAGTGTGAATTCTCTGATGCAAGACAAAAGCCGAGTAGTAACTGAAGGCCTTTTCACATTCATTGCACTTCCAAGGTTTCTTTCCTGCACAAAGTCTCTCATGTCTAATTATTTCTGAATTTTGGTTTAAATTCTTTTTAAATGAATCACAACTACGAAATCTCTCTCTCTGTTGCTGAACAAGTAATGACCTCCGATTAAAATTTCTTCTGAGTTCACCACATTGGTAACTTTTCTCCCCAGGAAGTTTCTTGTGAGTGACAACTTCTTCAATTAGATGTTTTTCATGGTTTTCTTGCTGATTCTTTAAAGAGTCCTCACATTCACTGGAACCTTCCTTTGGAAATCTTTCCATTAACACCCCAGGGGCTGATTCTTCAGAATAATCCTTCTCTGCAGTTAGTTCTATACTTTCTGGTACTGTCTCCCAGTCTGGAAGAAGGAAAATTATACAAGTATCATTTCCAACATTGAGAAAAAATAACTGTCATTAAAAAAAAAAACAAAAAAACAAACTGGGGCTGGAGAGATGGCTCAGTGGTCTAAAGCACCTACTTGAAACAAGCTTGGCAAAGCACAGGGACCGCGGTTCGATCCCCAGCACCACATGCCAGCCAGACCCGCCCCCTGGGGGGCTGAGCTGGCCACACACACACACAATAAATAAATGTAATAAATAAATATTAAAAAAAAAAACTACAGAAAATAGTGCTTATAGGAAACAGAATTTTATTGCCCTCAAAAATGACCTTGTAATCTTATGAGATATAAGAACAGAAATGTGACTAGGAAAGAAATATTGATGCATAAAGGGAGAGCATAAGCAGGCACTCAACATTCCTCTAGACATCAGAATAGGAAACAGAAAAGCGTAACACAGCAAGATTCAGCAGGGGTGGTTTAGAGAAATGGCTTAGAAAACACAGGGTCTGGAAGAGTTAGGCCTGGGATCAGAAACAGTAGGAATTGCCCACTATGCCAAGCTCACCAAACCTCTCACAGCAGGCCCCACAAAAGACTTTCTTTGGCTCATCTCCTTCCCATTATTCTCTTTCCCCCTTTATTACACCCTAATTACTAAGAGACTAGTTTTTCAAAACCACTCTTCTAGCCAGGCATGGTAGCACACACCTGTAATCTTGGCACTCTGGAGGCCTGAGGCATGATGATTTTTGGTTCAAGACCAACCTGGGCAACTTAGCAACTCAATGAGACCCTTTATCAGTTGAACAATTGATTAGTCAACCAACCAATCAATCAATCAATAAAAAAAGGCCAAGAATATAATCTAGGACAAAGGCCCCCAGTACCACCTTGAGACTGTTGCCAGTCTCAAGATGAGACATAAATTCTAGATGTTTGATTCAATGTGACCTGAATCTACAAATTCCAATTATCATAAAGCTTAGTGATTAGGAAGAAATTAATCATTGATTGTTTATCATGCCCCCATATCCAGCGAACTGGAAAGAATAGAGTAGAATCAATTAAAAACTGAAGCAGAAGAAGAAAAAAAGAGAAAAGAGCAGCATGCTGGGAGACAAAGATCAAGCTCCATGTTCTCAGACTGTCCCCAAGCTGTTATAGTACCGATGTATCTTAAGGTCATTACTTCCTGGTAAGAGTTTAGGGAGAAAACTTCGACTTCTAAAAACACCTGCATACTTTCAGGCTCAGAAGCTGCTATGGTTTGGTTTGCAGCACATGATGCAAGCCTGGTGACCTAATATGGCAGTGTCAAGACAGTGGAACCTTTAAAGGTTGGGCCTAATGGAATGTACGAGGCACAGAGGGACTACCCTTGCAAAGGATCCACACTGGTCTCAAGGAATGAGTTCTTGCGAGAGAGGGTTGTTATAAAGTGTGGCCACCAACTGAGCAGAATATCTTCTCTATATGACCATCTGAGCAAAGGGGACCCACACCAGCACTGAGCAGATACAGGGGCCATGCTTCAGGGTTTTGCTTTTTACTTTTTTTTTTTTTGGCAATACCAGAAATTGAACTCAGGACCCTGTGCTTGCCAGGCAAACACTGAGCTATCTCCCAACCCTGTTTTTTATTTTCTTAATTTATGAAAAAAAATTGCAACAGTATTCAAGAGAATAACAATAGTCAATATTCTGTATGTTTATCTTCAAAGCAGTTATTCAGGATACAAGACATAAACCAGAAATATTCTTATAAAAAAGAAACAAACACATAATAACACAAAACTTTCATTTCAATGAAGTAATATAATTAATAGTATAAATGAAACTAATTAGCATATATAAAATTTTTTAAACAATAGGATATATAATTTGGGGAAGTATTTAGATTTCTTCCTACATCTTATCTCTCTTCTGTTTTGCTCTTTATGTGGATGTGTTCTCATATAAGAGAAATCATGTGATATCTGAACTTGTATTTCTGATTTATTTCACTTAACATTATAGAACTGTGTGCTACCTCTGACAGGACAAAAAAAATAAAATTAAAATAAAAAAAATAAAAAAAGAGATACAAAGGAAAGATCATTTTGTATTTATATATACAAAATAGTTAGGATAAATTTACAGCTACTTTTGTTTAATTCAATGAGAAGAAAGAGGTGTACTAACAGTGTTTGGACAGAATATCCTGTCTGCTTCTTGTACTATGGATAACCACTAAGAAGATAACAATGTACAGTGTATTGACTATCAAAACTGTTCTATTAATCAGCTGTGAAACTGTCTCATTCATACTTATTTCTCAATAAAAAAAAAACTGTGTGCTAAATGAAACTTTTTAAAAAAAAAGCATTAAGTCTCATCTGAGACTTTGGTTGTAACAACAGAAAATGGATATCTAATACAGACATTGAATAAAGATGGCCTTTCATATTTGAGCATTTTTCTAGTGAAATGAATCAGTACAACACAATGTCATAAACTGCATCATACTCAAGGAAATACCTAGGATTTAAGGATTAAATAGATAGACAAGATTAAAGGTAAACTGCCCTCCAGCTAAAAGGAATGACAAATTAAACTTCCAAATATCTGGGAAGAACATATGGGAAGTAGGGACTAAAGAATTTGACTATCTAGTGCTAAGTTTCAAGCTGAAGAATAGAGAAGGCAAAAAGTTTAGGCAGGTAGCCTAAGAAAGACTTTGAAATTAAATAGCAAAAACAACAACAACAACAAAAAAAACAAACCCAGTACTGGCAGAGTAAGCTATTAACTGGGGAGTTTAGGAATTCTAACGATGCTGTCTCTGTTATATAAAGATCTAACAGAAGAAAGTATGATTTGCTGGAGTCTATTGCAGTAATCCAGTTGACAGAATAGGGTCAAATCTATGACATCTTTCCAAAGAAAAGCTCCTGATATTTAATTAATACCATTCTATTCTAAACAACATTCTTTAATTATGCCATTAGATCCTGAACATAACTCCGAGTTAGGAGTCACCATTATTCCCGTATTATAGCTGCAGAATCTGAGAGAAAGGGAAGATAAGTCACTTGTTAAAGGCAACAGAGCTAGTGAGTAGCTAAGGCAGACCTGCAACCTAGGGAGACTGATTCTAAAGTTTGAATTCTTAACCACATGCTCTGCTATGCTGTCTCTGGCTGGAGAGGGAAAACCTAAGGGTCAATTTACAGTCATTCGTCTAAGACTCAAAATATAGTACTTATCCTACAGAGATTAACTAGCCTATGTGAAAAAGCCTGTTTTAGAGTCTTTTATTCAAGCAAATTATTAGCAACTATTAAGATATTGGTTTCATTTCATCTTATTTGGAAAAAGAAATGGTTTGAAGGGTATAAAGTTACTTACAAAAAATAATCTTCTAATTTCATAAAGAGATCATCAACCACAGAAGTGGAGTGAAGCCCAGGACAGACTGCACTCTGCTTCCTTGTTTCCAGGAGTCTGTGAAATCTAGAAAGGCTTCTCCACCAGCACAGTCACAGCCATGTAGGATTTATTTTCACCATCCCCAATGCTCACTCACCTGAACTGGCTGCTTTTGAGACTTCTCCCTCCAGCTCTTCTTCATGTGCCAAATGAGAGATTACATCAGGCTTGGAAATTGGAAGGCCTGTTCATGGGGAAAACAACAGGAATCTGGTAAAGAATGTGGTGCTAGCTCCCTGGTCTTAAGAGAAGACAGCATGAGAGACAGACGTCAGTTCTTGATTTCTTCCCAGATGTGTTCAAAAGAAGGCAGGAAGGGTGATACGGTGTGTATTTGAGCTCCAAACAACCAATTCACTAATTTTTACCTCTCCCAGTTGAGAGAAGAAGCAACTATTCCTTTAAGAATAGTTTTTACTACAACTGTGTTTTGACATCCTTGGCCAACGAACAGAGAAGGATGCTATGACAAAGGTGCCCATTGCTACTCTACCTGCCTTTCTCGCTCAAGAAGTACTAAAGAGTATCTTGAAATAAAAAGCAGAAACTGCCTGTCTCAGGCCTTACAGAAAATAGGAATCTTGAATCTAAGTACTTCAGATGGCATAGCAACTGAGGAAGCAAAGGTACCACACTGATGACATTCTCAGGGGACAGGGGCACCATTCTTACCCAGCAAGACCAGATTCCTAGGCTTCCCAGGCACATCTCCCTGAGGAGGGTCCAGCTGTCCCCACTGGCTGAGAGCCGCAGCCATATCCCTGATCACCAAAGGTTTCTGAAAAACACAGCACAATGGTGCTCACCAAAGGGCCTTCTTCTAGCGGTCTCTGGGAAGAAGTAAAACAGACAGCACAGGACAAGGAAGACAGGAAGCATGGAAGGTGAAACAAAACGACTCTGTCGGTTCTGCCCACGGTCAGATTCTCTGGCCTGTGTGTTGTCTGTGCTCTCCCTCTCCATGCAGCAGGGCTGCGTACTACCTGCAAGCAGGATGGAAAGCCAAACCTGAAGCTTCCATGTTCTTCACTTACACATCAACAAATTAAGATTATACAACTGTAGAACTTCTTACTGCCTACCCACTGGAAAAGGGAGAAAATATAATTAAAAATTAAACATTTTCTTTATAGTATGGATGTTAAATATAAGAAGTTCATGCCTTTCAGAGTTAATCATATGATATATATGATGTATATATTATATATATAATAAAAATTGAGATTTTTGCTGTGTTTCCCACAGAATATGGACTTAATGAAGCCTGAATTATTACAAAGTACCTAACATGCTTCTTTTGTTTCTCACAATGGCCCACATGAACCTGACACCTCATCTACTCTCTGCTTCCTTGAGCACTCCTCCTCCTCCATTCCCTGTGGTCTGGCTGGAAGTCGTTTTCAGCTGTTTGAAATGTATGTCCCATTCCCTTGTGCTGCTTGGTACCTGCTGCTTCCTGTTCCTGAATGTTCTCCTCACTTCCCTGCCTCTCAGTTACTTGAATCCTAAGTGTACCTCCAACCTCAGCTCAGGTTCTCCTCCTTGGGGAAGAATTCCTCAACTCCAGCTGTAAGACCCTCTACCATCTCTCCCTTTGGGAGAAAAATGGAGGGGAAGGAAGAGACTTCATGACTAACAACTGTCTGTTCCATCAGAGCGTAACCTCCACAGAGCAGAGCCCAGCTGTTTTCACTTACTGAAGAACTGACATAGGCAAGGCCTCCAAGAACTTCATTGAACAGCTCAGTGAAGGAAGAAATGAATTAGTAAGAATATATGTGTGTATTTAAAAATACATATATCTTAAAAGTTGTGCAGGGAAACAGGAGAGGGGAAGCAAACAGAATTGTATCAAATACTGAAAACACTATAGGAATCTTTACCCTAATCTTGATCTATATGATAGGCACAAAGTTTAGTTTGTCTACTAGCATATGGGAGGAGGGAACAAGAATCTATTTACTTCCGGCAGGACAAATGTCTCGTAATTCTTTCTAATCTATTTAAATAATTTCTCTACAACTACAATTGGACTGAAATAGAATAAAACAGTCGCTGGGCTGCTGGCAAATGAGTAAATCTTACCCCTCTTTGACCTACCACTATTGCCACAGGCCCCTGGACATGCAGTTGTGTCTCACTTAACAATGGATGCACACAAGGTCTGAGAAATGCATCATCAGGCAGGGCTGGGGCAAACATGGAGAGCACACTTAACGAACACATGACATTACTAGGCAACACAACAGTACAGGACAACCCTTGTACATGTCCACTGTTGCCTGAAAGGCCTTTATATGCTGTGTGACTGTATATAAATATATCAATTAATTATTTATATTCAGCATTCTAATGTATATGATATACTCCTCACTCAATAACCAATAAAGCAATGCACACAATTAAATAAAGTTAAAAGAACTGCCTACTTTGGAAATCTGCTCTCCAAAATACATTCTTTACCTTCACACCTCAAATATGAGATCACTATACTCAAGTTTATAGTGCCTTAAATGTGTATGCCTAAGAAGGGATCGACACCAGCAATATAATGTGTTTGGCTTTCCTCCATAGACAGTTCTGACACCACAAGACTAGCTGGATGTGCCTTCAAGCTTTAGTTCCCTCAGCAATCAAACTCACTTAATAGCGCGTGTACTAGGGCTGGAGAGCAAAGCCAGACTAGCCAGACACTGGCAGCAGATACTACTGACTCTCTCTCTACTAGTCCCTCTAAAATTGATGGTACATAGATCAAAAGCAATCCTGACACTTTTCTCCCAGGGTTCAAAATGGATCATTAGCACCTGTATGCCCTGAGGTCTGACCTGACTTGCACGAGTAATCCTAGCTCCTGTCCCAAAGGGACTGTTCCTCTCTGGGTCCCAGCACGAGTAATCCTAGCTCCTGTCCCGAAGGGACTGTTCCTCTCTGGGTCCCAGCCAGGTCCTACTCAGCCATCTTTTACTAATATTCTGTCTGCAATCAATCACCACATTTCATCTTGCTGAGCTTCTAAAAACCTTCATGGGGCCCAGCTGCCTTCAACATGAGATTTGGTGTAGATTGTTCTGTGATCTGTCTACACCACATGTACTCTGGCTTGTCCCTTTGGGTCCCAGCCCAGCCACAGTGCCCCACACCCCTCCATGATCTCCAACTCTTTTTTCTTTGCCAAAGACATGTTCTCTGCTGGAATATTTCTGTATTCTCTTCACCTACATAGTCTCTCTAGCTTTCAAAGGTTTTGTCTCAAGCTTTTCCCAAATAACCTAGATGATGGAAAACCTCCTCTAGGCCTTTGATGATTTGTTCATATGAGATATACATATCTTCACACAGTTTAACTGTGTTACTTGTCCATATTTCACTGCCTCAGGAAATTCCCTGGAACAAGGCCAGTAGCTGCCATCATTTTGCATCTCCACCACAGACAACACCAGGAGGTCAGTAAGTGTGCAGCAAGCTCTCAGCGGGTGGAGAAGCACTGCTGAGGAGGAAAGGTCTCGTCAAGCGAGGAGTACTTCCTGTGAAGTCATCACTCATTAGTTACCAGGATGAATCCAATGGCCTAAGAATCAAGGTCTTTATTAGCAATGGAAGGAAATATATCCACACTAAGAACTGACAATGAAGGGAAAAAATGAAGTCTAAACTTACCTGGGACCCAGGGGTGGGCAGACCATCAGGCGGGCCATTTTCTTTTGCATTTTCAGTACCAAAAAGGGCTGAGCTCTCAGAAAGTGAGTCTACAAATGGAGATAGGACTTGCAGTAAACCAGGAGAAACTTCTGGGAACCAGCTACCTCCTCTAAGAGTCAAGAGAGCTGACCAAAGAACAATCGCAGAAGTCTTTGACATAAGATAGCGGTGACTCTGGCTACCTCGAATTCCTTCTGTCCTTAAACTCCTGCGAATCCAGACACACAAACTAAATGCATATTTCTATCACTTATCTGCTGAGTCGCTAAAACGTCATACTCATAATACTCTCGGTGTGTCAATCAGTACCTCAAACTATGATTTGTCTCCCTTGTATTCCACACTCAAAGAATAAAAGAGAATAAAATGGGAATTCTGGCTTTTCCATGCATTGCTAGCTGTTTCAGAAACGCAATGGAATGGTGGACACTCCCTTCTTCAAAAAGCCCCACAACAGCAGCAAAAAACCAGGATTCTAAACAAATCCCATGCCCTCGCTTTGCCCATCCGCGAAACGCGTCAAATAGTTTCTGGTGTACAGCCTTACCAACGTCATACAAGGACAAAAACGAAGTCGTGATCAAAAGCCAAGCTGTCAGGTCTATTGATTTGGGGGGCACGGAGCATCCGTCACCCTAGACCAGCGGGCTGCCCTCGAACAGCGGCGTGAAGCCAACAGCAGGACGGGGCCCTCTCCGGGAGGACACGACGCTGGACCCCCGCGCCTGCCCGCCCAGCCTGAGGGCAGCCTCTCTCCCCTGCTCCTCTCGCGCGGGCACCGCGACCGCCTCGCTGCGGGGTCCTCACCTCTGCCCCCAGCATCCATCGCGACTCCCTCCTCCTCCTCCTCCTCCTCCTCCCAGGGCCGGGGAGGCCCGCTCGGGTCCACCGAGCGGCCGGGACCGCGCCCCCCGCCTAGGCCCTCCGCCGCCCTCCTTGGGGCCCGCAGACTCCTACGGCACTGCACCTAGCCCTCCTCCAGCCCAGGACCGACACGGAGGACCCAGGTCGAGTGACAATGGCAAGTAGCAGCCGGTGGGGCCCTAGAGGCGCCTGCCGATCTCGAAGCTGAACTACAATTCCCAGAATCCTCCGCAGGGCGCGTCTCACACCGGGCGCTGCTTCCCAGCGGCCCCCGCGGTACGCCCGTCAGTTTGCGTTCTCCTGCCGGAGTCGCGTCTCCGTGGTCTGCACGTGGCTCTTTAACTGCATCCTCATGTGTCGAGGATGAACGCTGATCGCCTCATACCTGGAGCGGTCGCTGTCCGCCGCAGTTATTCCTGAAGGTGGCCCCCGTGGCAACGCAAATCTTAGCTGCTCTGTTCCTTCTTAGAGAAAAATGTTTGGATAATCCCCCGCGGCCGTGCCTGCCTTTCCGCGGACTCACAGCATTAATTGGGTCCGTTTTGCCTGGGGCAGAGATTGCCTCAGTTTCCTTAGAGTAAGCAGATGTGAAAGGTGGAATTTCAGTTACAGAAATGGCCGGATCCCGAGAAAAACCTGTGAAGTACTCTTGTTGTCTGGGAGACAAGACCCTGAAAAGTTGGTTCCACCTTCCCGTGAGCTCTGGGACTTAGTGGAACGCAGAGTGTTCATGCTTCCTTTCCCGCGATGAAATCGTCAATTTGTTGTCCACTTCATATTCTTAAGAAAGAAAATTTGGTTATCATAAATATGTCACTGAATAGAAGCCACAAATTCCAATTGCCCTTTCTTCAACAGACTGCATTTTTCGTTATTCCTGCCTCTTGCCAAAGGGCTGACAGCGCAAGTGCTTCTTAGAGAGAAGGGAGAGTTTTTCTTTGGCACCTTCTTCCCTGCTGGCTGGATCACAGACAAGAAGTCACCGTGGACCACGTATATGAGGTTAACACTTTAGGAAGGGCAAACAGGACAGAGAGAACTGAGCCTCTGATAGTTTTGTGGAACAGAATTTGGGTCTCAACATGAAAAAGAATTTCTACGACTCAGAAAGTCACATTAACTAGTCTGTAGATTAGGTCCAAGAAAGGGCCTGTGGTTGAAAAAAAAAAAAAAAAAGCCCCCTCAAGAGCATCCCCTCACTCCTCACCCATCCGTTAGTGGGTGGTAAGAGATGGGCAGTTTTCCTTCAGAAGACGTATTTGAAGGACACACCCAGTGGATCTCTGGAACATGAGGGCATGCCTTTTTTTTTTTTTTTTTTTTTTTTTTTTTTTTCTTGTTTCTGATCATCTCCATTGCAGAAGTCCTCTTTCATTACCAAACCAAATTTCCAGTTCTCAGTCCTTATCACAACCTATTTCAGCACATGAGACAACTTAACTACTCCTTTGCATCTAGACACTGGTTTTCTTCTTTGACTAAGACTTATTGAGCTGTGGTACCACATGGAGGCATGAGTATAAGCAGAAGACAGAAGGCACGCAAACAAATAATCTTCCACAAAAGCATCTTATACCATAACTGAGCACTTGCCCACACTTGCTGCATTTGTAGTTTTCTCCATTGTGCATTTTCTTTTTTTTTTTTTTTTTTTTTTTTTTTTTGCATTTTCTTAATTTTGAATAAGCTATCTTTTCTGGAGGGAGGCTTTCCTTTACTTAGTGCTTGTCTCCACCATGATTTTTATCATGCTGATAATGGAGTGAGCAGTTAGAGAAGATGTTCCCACACTCATCAAATCCAAAAGGAGTCTTCAATATGCACTCTGCTGTGATGAATGGGAGATGAATGGTCAAACAGTTTACCACACACTCATCTTGTCTCTGGTGTGGTAAACTTATGGTGAGTGCTATTTTTCTGACTAAAAGATTTCCCACATCTGTAATTGCTACATTCATAAGGGTTTCCACAATATGAATTCTCTGATGTCAAAAGATAAGTGGATAAAGGGCCTGACATATTTGTTACATTGAAAGGATTGTTCTCCAGTGAGTTTACTGATAATCAGTAAGAGTGATAGTTTTTCCCCATATTCCCTGCATACAGAGGGGCTCTCCTCCATGTGTGAGACTACATGCTTCCTAAGACTACTCTTATAGCTGAAGACTATCTTCTTGACAATCTAGGTCTTTAGTGTGTGTCCCTTTGTTGATGGATGAGAGATAAATGGTTATATAAGGTGTTTCTAAATATGCAGTGTTCCTATGTTCTTTGTTACAGTTGGCTTTCTTGGGAGAAGTGGATCCTTCCCTTGAGTCATTCTCCCTTGGTGAAGATTTCTTCAGTTTCCTCTAAAGGCTTTCCTTTCTGCCCTCAGGTTTTTCAAGGCCATGTGTGGAATAGGGAGGACTATGTGTCCTGAGTTTTTCCATTAATTTTTTTGTGTGATTTTACTTTTTCAGAAACAGCTTACATTTGGATTGTGTCCTACTTTGTGGGTTCTAAAGCAAATAGAAAATATAAAACTGGCTTCAGTGTTTGTGAAAAATACAATATTGTATATATTAAGAATGAATGGAGGGCTGGGGAGATGGCTCCGTAGAATACACGCTTGCCTGGCAAGTGCAGGGGCCTGAGTTCAATCCCTGGTTCTGCAAAAAAAAAAAAAAAAAAAGAATGAATGCAAAACTTTGCCTGACTTAATAGCAGTACCCTAACACAAGGGAAGGCCTGAAAAAAATAGCAAAGAAAAAGGTATGAATAGAAATTAGAAGTGGAATATGGGCATTTAGCCCCCAAAATGTTTCAGTTGTTCATCCTTTTGATATTTATTGTCAAATATTCCTTTTAAGTGCCAGTACAGAAAAAGTCCCTGGGACTCAACGATATAGAAGCAATCCCTGCCTTTATTCTACTGGACATACAACAAAGGAGAAATAGAACAGTGTTATTCCTGATGATGAATGTGGAGTGGGATTGGATTAAGGGCTTCTTTGGAGGTACCTTAAATAGTGGTCATCAGGAAGTGGCACTTTAGGTGAGAGCTGACAGAGGGAAGTCAGCCATCTGGATAGCCAAAAGAAGAGCATTTCAGGGAGAGGCATGTGCCAAAAGAGGAACTACGGAGAGAAACATGGGGATGACTGGGGCAGTCAATTATGTGTCAAGAACAGCAGGTAATAAATTTGGAAACAAAATCTCAGTGCTTTTCTAACACCACCTTCCTGCAAAGGGTTTTCTCTGAGGAGGGAACACCTCCTTCTCTGTCCTTAGAGAACTTGGCAGCCACATGCTTAAACTTAAGTGACTTTTGAAAAGACAATCCCATTCTTACTCATCTCTGTGTCTTCTTTCACATTTGAGTAGGAAGAAAGATCACAGCACCCAAAGGCATATAGGAAAACTGGTTTTGAAGATGTCACAGATGCTTGATGTGTAACAAGTCTGTGACCTGAGCCATGAAAGTCTTGGTCATGCTTTTATGCTATCCTATCCACAGTGGAGTTTCCAAATTTCAAGGATGCTGTTATTTGGCTTCAGTTTTTAACTATAAAATGAAAAAAAAAAAACTTGATCAGATGAATGTTAAAACCTCAGCACTAACATTGATTGGTTCACTCTTGGAATGCTCAGTTACTTCTTGAGTCAAGGCTCAGAGGACAGTCAGAGGCAGAAGGACTGAAACTGGAGCACTGAAACTTGATGATGTAGTGCCCTTCAGGAAGGAGTCTGAGTTTTTATATTTCTTTCAAGAATTCTCAATTACTTCCGGAGCCACTGGGCTCACTGCCAGAAAGTACACTGCCTCAGCTCTCTGCTGCCCAGCCACTGAATGCAAACTCAGGAGGGGGACTGGTAGGCACTTCAAAGGCAATGCTCCTACAGCTGTGTTGCAGGGGAAGAAGGGCATGGGTACACAGTCTCACAGATCCAGCTTCCACAGGGATGGAACCAGTCTCCAGGTATTTACTCACTGGCTGCAGGCAGTGCTAGACAGAAGAAAGTTCAGCTCACCTGCCATCTGGTGGCTCGGGAGAGAGCTGCCTTTTTGTCTTCTGTGTTCTCTTGGAAGAGACCCAAGAGAAAGTGGGGTCTCAGAGACAGCAAATCTGGGGAAGAAAACGTGAAAGAATCCAACCCTACTATCCTACTGTGATGGTTAATTTAGATTGTCAGTGTGGTTGTTTGAAGAAATGCCTATAAGACGAGCAAAGCACACTTCTGGCTTGAGGCACGGGGCATGACCTTGAGAACCAGATGTGGTCTCTGGCCCTGCTCTTTTAGCTTTTCCTACTCGCTCTGCTTCCTGGATGCCGGGAGGTGGGCACCTTGTCTCCACTCTGCTGTTTCACTGTGATATTGTGCGTTGGAGCCAGCCAACCATGGTTGAAACTTCCGAAGCCATAAGTCGGAACAAACCCATCATCCTCTAATTGTGTGTCAGCTACTTTGTTCCAGCTACAAGAAAGCTGGCCAGTGAGTGCTTAGGGCAAAGTGACTACAAACAAAATCACCTGTTCAAGGAGTGGATGTTATGGTAACTGGCACTGCTCTGTTTCTGGGTTAGCAGATTCCTAGAAACAGAACTCTTTTCCTGCATCAGAAAACTATTAAAAATCAAATAGTTCACACCAAAGTTAATGTTTACTCTATTTTATAAGCCTACAGTTACTGTTTAACTCGAGACTGTAGTATTTTGTTTTGATATAAATAAGCAGTTTAATAGGTTACTCAAATTAATTTGATTTTTAAATTCAATTTGGTCATGAGGATGCTGTACTAGCTATTTAAAAAGCAAACATGAAACCTATAAGGTCAGGCATTTAAAAAGTAACATAAAAGAAGATAAGAGAACTGTGTACTAGTGAAGTATTGTTTAGCTCTGAGGGCTAGCATTACATTTGAGCCAGCTCAACTTAAGTGGGAGCTATTTTTCGGGTTCAGTGGGCATTATAAGGATTTGTAATGAAGCTACGTCCAGACCTCATTCCATTTGTGGCCCCTCCTGAGATCCAAGAGCATGGAGTCCCTGTCCTGCATCCTCTGAGTTCCAGGAGTCACAGGTTCAAGAAACTGACAAGATACCGTCTCACCAAGAAAGGAACACAAGCCAGATGCTGGAAAGTCCAGCTTGTTGCTTTATTAGGGTCATTTTCTGCAAAACTATGAGGCTATGCTCAAAATAATACCCAGATATTCAGTGGTCAGTCTAAGATTGATACAGCGGCTCTCCCAGCAAGACAAAAAGACAATGGGACCAGGCAGGACAGACAGACATGTGCCCCACCCTTGCCCCTGCAACACTGGTTGGCATCACAGGGAAGCATGAGAGATAAAGGACTGACCAGGGAACTTGGCCTGCAGTACCATGGTCATCTGCAGAGACGGGTGAATCCCCACCCAAAACGGGGTTGTGCAGTTGAAGTTGATAACACACAATTGTACCAAAAGAGCATGAAAAGGTTCTTACTACATCTTTGGGGCCTACAGGGGAGAGTCAGGAAGGCCTATCCAGCCAGTTTGAAAGGGCTTGAGAGCAGAGAAAGAAGCCCTGCCTGGGTTTCTACTGTGTTCACATAGGCCCAAGAGAAGGCTGCCCAAGCGGACAGCGTCAGGCATTGTCAGCCAGTCTAGATGGAGGAGGAGGGGAAGGGAGGCCTAAAAGCTGCCAGCAGCCGAACATCAGAGAGCAGAGGCTGCTAACTGATGGCGCATGCATGTAATCCCAGCTTCCAGGGAGGCTGAGGCAAGGGAATCGGAAGTTCAAGGCCAGCGTTAGCAATTTAGCAAGACCCTAGCTTAATAAAAGGATTGAAAATATAGTATTTATACCCAGTGGAGTACAACTCTGCCATAAAGAGAGATCAATGATGCATTTGTAGGAAAATGGATAAACAGTGTCAAGTGAAACAAGACACACAAGCTTAACTATTAAATGGTTTCTTATGTAAAAGCCAAAATTATAAAAAGCAAAATAAAAGTAATAGGATGTAGGGAGATCTTTCTTAAGTGGAAAGGGGGTCAAGAGATGGAGGGTTGGGAGAGGGAGAGGAAGGTTGGGGATTGAAACAAGGAATTAAGATGCGTTAGGTACAAGTACCAACTCCACACAAGCTCAGTGGTAGAGCACCAGCCTAGCATGTGTGAGGCCAGGTCAGTCCCCAGTACCACAAAAGAAAAAGCAGAGACACATTGTACAGAGCAACTATGTAGCCAGCGCAAGATGAAAAGCCCTTCATCCTAGTGTTCTCCAGTCCTTTTCCTCTTGGGACCTGGCACGGGGACAACCTTGTGACAAAGAGCACCTGGAAAATAGAAGGAGTAATATTCTCAAGGGAAATGTTTATTTGGTGGAAATTTTGTCCCCGAGCCTGAAAGATTCAACAAGTCTTTCCAGACATGAAAATGACAAAACAACATTCTTGTTGGCACTTATCATAAATAGATTTCATCAGTTGGGAGGGCAGAAGAGAGAAAAGGAAAGAGGAAAGGACTTGGTGATAATGGGACCCATCAATGCCCTTGAAGCTGATGTTGTTGATAAGACTGCTATACAATTCAATGTGGTAAGTCTCATTTGACTCTGTTGTCTTAATTCCAATTATAGTTGTGATCCTTTACCAATCAGATTTCTTCCTTGTGTTAACAGATTTGCATGCCCTGCTGGGTACTGAAGGAACAGTGATAGTGCTGCCCCTCTTCATCTCTTGTTCCATGAGCTCTCGAAACAGAAAATCTAGATACGTAGTCTTGAATAATTAGAATATTAGAATGGCCAATGCCAGGATGGTACCGTGCTTATGCTTTCTGTGTATGTGAGCAGGATGTCTGTCGTGCGCCACACAAATACGGATGATCACAAATGGGCACTGCACTGGAACCAGGGCTGCTCTCTGCAGCTATCTGGCTGTTCAGCTATCTGTCAGTACACAGATATGCACATCTTCTTCCCTCAGGAACACCATGTTCTCATCCTCCCAAGCAGTGCAAGGCTCGACAAGATCTTTAACCCCGTGTTCTCATAGACTTACTGACCCATGTGCCCAATCAGTTAGCCATGGTCATTGTGCTTCCCTTGAGGCATTTGTTATTGGCCACTGAGAGACTAGCGGAATTAGATCATGTTGTAATGTCTCACCCTATCAGCTGTGACCAAGAATATGAACAAAAGCATTTGTCCAAGAAAGGCAGTGTGACCAGGTTAGGCATACTGCTCATTTCTATAAATGCAGGCTGAGAAAAGAGGGGATGGACCTGGCTGAATTCAGAAGCTGGCCAACCCTCCTGCTGGTCATTGTTGCATTGTGACATCCCAGAACAATTTCTGGGATTAGTACGTCTGCCAGCTGTCTGTGCAAGGCTGCCGGGCTTAGGTGTCCGTCTGCCAGATTCCAGTGCTATTGTCTGGATCTGGAATGTACCCCAAAGCTCATGTATTACAGGCTTGGTGCTCTTGGGAAGTGGTGGATACTGAAGGTCTTCAGATCACTGGGGCATGCCTTTGAAGGTGACTGTATGACCCTTGTCTCCTCTTATTCTTTCTCCCTCTAGCAATGCAATAAGATTAGTGGCTTTGTGCCTCCGTGCACCCCTGGCACGATGTATTATCTCACTAGAGCCCCAATGTGGTGGAGCCAACTAACTGTGCACCAAAACTGTCCAAACTGTAAGCCAAAATAAACCTTTCTTCTTACAACCTAATGATTTTACATACCTTTAAAATATAGCAGCAGAAAGCTAGCACATCTCGTCTTGGGGTTCTCTAGCACTGACACCCCTTAAAGAGCTGATTCCTGAACATGTCTGCTCATTTGCATGGTAAGCATTCAGTTCTCTTAAAATTTAGATAGGGCTTATCTGGCATCAGAGACATTACTTCTTCAAAACCATTTTAAAGTCTTAGGCTCAACCCTACTCAATCCTTTCTGCCTTGATCCTTGGCATGCTTCAAGATGATCAAACTCTTTCAAAGACTTCATGCTTCTAATGGCCAATAGGTGAAGCTAAAACCTCAGAATTCAAGGCTTTCCCCATTGCCTGCCATATTGGGAGATCTTAATTAAAGGACAAATGGCCTTTTCCTTAGTTTTTAGCAATTGATTCTAAGACAATATCCTACATTTTAGAAAATGCTGTACAGACTACAAAACTTAAGGAAACAGAGAAAATCATCCAATTTATATCCCTATTCTGTTTTGGTTATCGCTGAACTCAAAAGTCTATTATAATTCTGGTATTTTCAATCTCATCCTTCTGACAATTACAGAATGTTTTAGGGTAATACCTGACCCTTGGTATATTTTAAATAAGGTAGTATATTAAACATTCAGAACACTCAGAGACAGTCAACAGCCATGTTTGTCAACAGTCTATTTCTACATTAAATATCAGGTATTGTGTTTATTTTCTACATTAGTGAACAGTAGATATTATCTATACTCATAGATTCTGTCACATTTTCTTCAACCTGCTTCAAAAATGCAGCTTACTTGCTCTAAGGTGAACCAAGACTAATAGGCATGGAAGTCAGTTAGGGATTTGTTTGGCACCTCAGCTTCTTGAATCAGTTTGGAGGGAAATCCACCTTATTTCACTGGGATTCATGTAATGCAGTCCCACACAGCTTTTCAGAACCATGTCGTTAGGCCGGGAATATAACTCAGTGGCACAGTGCCTGCCTGGCAAGTGTAAAGTCCTGAGTTTGATTTCTGATACCAAGAAGAAAGAAAAAGAATCATGTCCTTTTCTGGGTATCCCTATAAGGAAACAGAGACTATAGACATCTAGAGTCAAGGTGACTAATATTTAATAAAATAAAAATACTGGGCTAGGACCAGGAAATAGAAGTTTTGGGAACCAGGATTTGGTAAAGTTTTTGGTAATGGGATTCACATTAAGACAGGTCATAAGTATTTGGAGAGGTCTGCGTTCAACAGGGAGCTCTCTTAGGTCCTGAGTTCAAGGCGATGGACAAGCAGGGGGCTGACCTAATGGTAATATGCAAAATTTAATGGGTAGCTCAGTGCTAACCAAATATGGAGGTACCTGTTTCTGTTCCTAGTCTCCAGTTGCTGGATTTGGGCTTATGATATATGAGCAAAAGAGAGAGAAGTCTGGCCCTTGCAAATGTCCCATCAATTCCTCTAGCTCTCACTTCTTTCATCGTAGTGACTCTGGAAGTGACTACTGCTGCCTTGGGATCTGGGATAACAAGGTTTCAGGTAGGGGTATGAGAATTCAGAGAAAGGATATGAATTGAAGAGGTGTTTCGAATGGAGAGAACTTGGTATTCATTGAGATAAATATTTATTGAGCACTATTTGCACAGCACTGTGCGAAACACAAAGTCCTGTAAGTCATACTTCCAAGTGCTCACAATCTAGTTAAGGAGATAATATATGTACATACATTATAAAACAACTTAGAGCATGACGGTAGAAAATACATTTTGAAAGTGACTAACTCAAGACCTGGTTTCACCTTTGCTACTGTGTCACCTTGTTATTCAGTCTCTCCAAACTTCAGTGTGCTCTTCTGTAGGCTATAGACAGCAACAGTGTCTATTTCACAGAGCTGGTGAGAGGACTGAACGACCTTGTCCTTGTAAAACTCTTAGCTAAGTGTTTATCCCATAATAAGTGCTCTCACTAGAAATATTAAGAAATCTAAAAGCTGGGGCACAGAAGAACCAGGTCAATGTCCGGAAATGCTCTGAGAGACTAACAACTATAAAAATAATTTAATATTTAAAAAACCCAGTAGTTCTGGTGTTATTGTGCCTTTCCCCTCTTGTAGCCTCCAATTGTTTAAAGTGCAGTGATACCTGGGGCCAAGGTTCTGGCAAGAGGCATGTCTGAGGACCCCCTCCTACATCTATCCTATTTCTGATAACCTTGTCAGAGAAACTCAGGGCCCTGCATATGCCGGGCAAGTGCTCTACCACTGAGCTATATCCCCAGCCCCTCTGCAAATACTAAACTCCGTAGAATCATTTCCTACTCTTACAGCCCACATCAGTTCTACAACACAGTAGATACAGAGTGTTTATTCAAACACTGTGGAGAACAGGCCAGACAGGACAGAAGCCAGAGTGGGTAGAATGAGCAAATGCTGGGCGTGGCTGTGACACAGGGGCCCTGCCTTAAGTTTGTTCAGAGGTCCTTGCTCTGACTCAAGCTCCCACTCAACTCAGTCTATGCCCTGCTTGGCATAACGCCGCTGATGTTGAATGACTGAGGATTTCGAGCTGAAAACTTTCCCACACACACTGCATTCAAAGGGCTTCTCCCCTGTGTGAACTCTCTGATGCCGCGTGAGCCGGCACCTCTGGCTAAAGGCCTTGCCACACTCGCTACACTCATATGGCTTGTCGCCTGTGTGAATCTTCTGATGCTGCGTGAGGGATGAGCGGTCAAAGAAGGCTTTGCTGCACTCATTACACTGGTAGCGCGGCTCCCCTGCATGAGCTTTCTGGTGTCTGTTCAGTGATGACACGCCATAGAAGGCTTTCCCACACTCACTGCATTCGTAGGGCTTCCTGCCCGTGTGGATGAGCTGGTGGCGTGTGAGAATGCTTTTCTGGCTAAAGGCCTTCCCACACTGGTGGCACTCATAAGGACTCTCTCCAGTGTGGATTCTCTGATGCCGAGTGAGGGACGACCGGTCAAAGAAGGCTTTCCCACACTCGCTGCACTTGAAGGGTTTTTCTCCTGTGTGGATGCGCTGGTGCACTGTAAGCGAGGATCGGTCAAAGAAGGCTTTGCCACACGCTCCACATTCATAGGGGCTCTCCCCGGTGTGTGACATCAGGTGTCGACTCAGGCTGCTCCTGTGGCTAAAGGCCTTCCTGCACTCAGGACAGTCATAGGGCTTCTCCCCAGTGTGTGTCCTCTGATGCCGGGTGAGAGAAGAATGGTCAAAAAAGGTCTTTCCGCAGTCGCTGCATTCCTGGTCTCTCTCCTTAGGGAGCATTTTCCGGGGTGGGGCTAACCTTGGGTGAAGGCTTTTGTCCCGGGAAGGGGGCTTCTTGCAAGTCCCCACTGCAGGGCTTTCTTTCTCTGCCCACAACCCTCCCCCTGATACTTGAACTTCAAGTCTGGGACACGGGGGACTTTGCCTGCTGAGGCTCTGGCTCAGGGCTCCTTCTGGCTTTTCTTCTTTGGTGACTTCTAGAGTATCTGGCTTGGTCTCCCAATCTGGAACAAACAGAAAAACATGCAGTTTGTTCTCTGGACCTTGGATGTTAGTGACAAGAAGAGACACCATGATGGCTCTGAAAGCACTGTACAATCACAGCACTGTTTGTTCCTGAGACAAGGGTGTGGTTGGGGTGATGAAGAGGGCAGTGAGGTGAGCGGACAGCAGACAGCTTGGCATACAGGAGGATTGGAGAGGAGGCTGAGTGGAGAGGGTGGCAACCAGCACGAATATCAGTGTGTGAAAGGGCAATGGGACAGACATGGTGACAACAGATGAAAACTTCAAGGGGTAGAGAAAAACAGTGCAAGCTGATGGGTGACATAAAACAAGGCAGCACTCCATGTTTCCTCCCTGCCCCCACACCCCAAGACGCACATAAAATAAAACTGTCCCGCCTTGTTCATTCTGTTACCTAGAGAGATAATCTGTGGACATTCTCTCTCCTCAGATCCTTGAAGACCCTCTCTGCATGGCTCATCCCCTCTCTTCAACCAAAAAATCACATCAGGTGGAGGAACCAGAAGCCCTGCTCATGGAGACAGAAACAAACCAGGTAGCCGCACATGCCGAAAATACTTTAACTGTTCTCAGGTTTAATCCTGGCCTCTACATCTATCAGAGAGAGAGCACAGGAGGCAGAAAGTACAAGCCAGGAAGGCAGGACACAAAGCAGAGGAACCGCTGAGTGGAAGTCAGAACTGAGGTTCTAGAAAGGAACAAGAGCCACTTGGCCAGAGTGCTGACACGATAAATCTACTGGAATTCACATGGAAGGGATGGGAAGCTTCCTCCTGGACACCGTGGGGAGGAAGGTCCTTGGCTCAGGGGAGGGGAGGAAAAACGAAGAGAATTTTAAGCCAAAAAAAAAAAAAAAAAAAGAATAACAGCCTCAGGTTTGTTTCTTTGTTTACCCTCTGCATTATATTTTGACAAAAACAAGCAGAAAAATTACAGACAGATCCAAGTAAAAAGGAAAATCAGCTTTCATAAACTGTATTCAATTTCCTCTTTATTTCCATTTATTCTGATGCTGAAAGATACCTATAGGTATATTCTGCTAAACCAGATAATGAAATATTACTGCTTTGTAAGTAACTTTTTTCACATAAAAATAAATTAATTTTATTTCAATTAGCATAGATCTACATCACCATATTATTGGCTACACGACAATACACCATATGGAATAATATAATTAATGAATCCACCGGCAAACATTTTAGACTGTTTTTAATGCTTTGCTGCTAATATACAATGGTATGATGAACATTTTCTTTTCTTTTTTTTTTTTTTTTTTTTGTTTTTGGTTTTTTTTGTTGGAACCGGGGATTGAACTCAGGTCCTTGCGCTTGCCAGGCAAGCACTTATTCTACTGAGCCATCTCCCCGGCCCCTTGAACATTTTCATGCCCTGTGGACTGCTAATCGTATTTCATTAGGATTGATTCCTACAAGTAAACACCACTTTTAGTTATGAATGTGAAGAACAAATCTCTCCAGGAAATAGGCGAGAGCTCTAAGCTCGCTTTGCATGGGGGCCACGCTAGTCTCAAGTCATCCTTCTACCTCAGGCTCCCAAGTGGCTGCGACTACAGACTCATGCCACCAGGCTCAGCTTCTGGCCCCCCATTCCTGAACCTCGTGAGAGGGGCTCATTACTGACAGGGGCCCATCTTAATGTCCCACTAATATCTGACAAAGTAATTGCTCTTAACTTCCCCTTTGTCAGGCACAACGCTCTGTATCTGTGCCTCTATGGGACCTCTATGACTGGCCTCAAATAGTCAAAATCAAACACGTCTAGTGACCTCTGCAGACACATGATCCTGTGCTCACAACCATGCACACCCCTCTTCTCAAGGAGGATAATTCTTTCCCCTCCTCTGTCTTCCGGGAGGGGGAACCTCTCCACTGTAAGACCACCTTTTGCCTACAACTTAGTCCTGAGGGAGCTGAGGACATCACTGGTGAGTCAGGAGAAGATCCGAGCATATGTAACTCTTCGCTTGTCCCATTCTGGAGGCCAGCTCCCTGTCGCCAGCATATATTCTGCTCTGTCCTCAGCCCTCTCTGTGTCTGGCAGGGCCAGCTGCTGAGGGAGGGGACCAGTGGCGAAGAGCAACGCACAGGGCCTGGGGGAGTACACTGTGTCTAGCACTAGGTGCAGTGCTAAGAAGCCCACCGTGGGGCCCACTGTGGCCACCTCCACTGGCTCATTTGTCTGCCTGTGGCTCAGAACTCAGGAGAAGAGGTACCAGCGTCTCAGCCCCTCGGCCCACACAGCACAGGGCACAGTCGGACCCCTCCTGGACGTCCCCTTACCCAGCGAGACCATGCTCTCATAGTTCTCCAGCATCACTGCCTTGTACAGCGCCCTCTGCACGGGGGCCAGATGGCGCCACTCTTCATCTGTGAAGATCACAGCCACGTCCTCGAATGTCACTGATTCCTGAAAGCACAACCACACTCTCCCTTATTCTCAATGCTCCTCTTTACTTGGATCAGCCTGAAACATCATAAAGATAACAGCCCTGGAGGATGCGGAGAAGGCAGGACAGGAATGGTTCCGACAAGGTGGGCCTTTAAAGCCCTTGGAGAGAGCGGCCTGCTCCCCAAGGCACGAAGTTCTTGGCCACAGTCCCCTCTCCCAAGGATGAAGTGTGGGTCACAATCTCACGCGTGTGCTTGGAGCTGACATAGAAGCTCTTTTCTCAGACTTAAAGGAAATTTGCCTGAACAGAACAAAACAAATTCCCAAGTACACTTTACTCAGCTTCCCTAAATACTCCCATTTCTTTCAGTGCTTTGTCTTTCTGCCCCTTCCTGTGCTGTATACTGCCCTGTCTTTGTCCTGAACTTCTTGAGTACTTTGTGAACATATTCGTTCACTCTTATTTTGTATATTTTATAGAAACAAGAAATAAACATACTTTTGTATAATCAAAGTATAACTATAAAAACCAAGAGCATAAATACTACACTATTATCTAATACGTGATCTTATGTAAAATTTCTCCATTTTTTTTCTTACAAATCTTTAGAATAATGACGCTGATTAGATTACCTCTGGGGTCTCTCTGGCTTCGTCTGTGATGATTCTGTGAGTCTGCATCCTTATCCTGTGACTCCCCGGAAGTTGTGGGCTAGTACAGGGAACAGAAGGCTCCGCCTTGTAATGGAGTGAGCTGCACATCTGTACCCAGGAGGACCATCTCTAGGATCTTCCAGCCTCACTGGGGCACTCTAAGCAGGCATCCTGTTCCCCAGCCTATCCCTGATACCTGGGGCCTACTCTGTTGGCCCATGAATGGACTGAGAAGCTTCCCACTGCTCCCTAAACTTTCCAGTAAGATCCATACACTGGCTGTTAGGCTGCAGGGGCTGTGTGCCTGGTGACAGACAAGTGGGCACACACTTAAGGCAAGAGAAGGTCACTAAAAGGCACATCAGTCAAATGGGAAGTACCTGAGTGGGATGGGAGCCCTTCTACTGCCCAGGAGGCTCTGACCAGAAGCCCCAGTATAAAGAAAGACAAGTGGGGCCTCCTGGAGACTATTAATAGAGTATTTCAGAAACAACAAAGTTCACCTCACCTGGCATCTGGCAGGTAGAGACGCAACAGCCATTCCCTCCTGGGTACTTGCTGGGTAGGAAAGGGCAGAGTCCTGAGGAGGCAGAGGTGTAGGGTGAGAAATGAGGTCTGAGAACAACCAGTCCAGTAGTCTGATCATGAAGCTAGATCTCTCCATATCACTGAGCGATTACCTGTCCCATTTCCAATACCCTACAAAATGGTATATACAGTAAAGCAAGGCCAAGAGCAACCCTGGCTCATCCCAGAGCTGGAACCAAGGGCCGTGGATATTGCAAGTGAGACCACTGTGATTCTCAGGACAGAGGTCTACTCCTAGGAGTCGGAACATATTAGGATTCATACTGTAATTATATTGTCTTGAATGTATATTGGTCAAAACACATAAAATATGTAAATGACTATATGGATGAGACATGTCAAAAAAAAACCTGTGGTCCCTTCAAAGGGAAAATACGCTACTTGCAGTGATTGCTAAGGCAGCAGCCATGTTTCACACTACACAACCCTATGTCTCCACTCCTGTAGCCACACTGACCAGGTCATACGTGGCCAATGCGGACACAGCCTGAGATGAGATCTGGAGTGAAGAAGCAACATCTTTCCTTGGGACAGGGACTAAGAAATGTCCAGACGACACATGGGTGGGGAGTTGAAAGGATGTCATGAGATAGCCACGAGGATCAGGACAACCAACGTTACATGCTGTGAACAGGTTCAAGGTAGAGACAAGTTAACAGAGAGTCGGATAAGAGCCAGGCAGGGGACAACAGCTCAGGTACATCAGTGGGGAAGAACTGAAACAGACCCACAAGTCCCTGGCCCTGATCTCTCTCCTCACCTGCAGCCACCTGTGTGGGTTCCAGTCTCCCTGCAAACCAGGGTTGCCACAAGGCTGGAGCCCTCCTGGTTCTGTGTGAATCCTCATCTCTAAGGCCCTTTTCTTCAGTGAGCCGGGTACTCTCACTGTTTCACAATCAAGATAACTAAATGACCCAGGGAAGCCAGCATTCTGGGACTTCCAAGCAGATAGTGAGCTCCTGAGGAGGAGAGAAAAGTGTGTGTATGGCTCACTGGGCCCTGTGCTGCAGTCAAGGGAATACGTTCTCTGTTCCCTGTGGGTCACTCACCCATCTATTCAAGCAGCATTGCTCGGTGCCATTTATAGGCAGCATAACAAGTCTATGCTGTCCTTGTCCTCCAGAAGTAACAGCCTCACCATAAAGAGACAAGAAAACAGGGTGGGAAATTGCTGTAAAGAGACGCAGGAGGAACCGTAAGGGCAACCCAGGGGCTCCGCACCCAGACAGGAAGGGAGGGAGGGGGGGGGGGAGGCAATGCTGTAGCTCGCTTGGCAGAAATGTGATCTAAGGTAGCCTTGATTTGGGGGAGGAGACAGAACGTTCTAGGCAGGAAAAACCGAGTTTTTAAAAAACAAGGACAATTTCTTATATGTTTACTTTTTATTTTTTGCAGTACCAGGGATTGAACTCAGAACGCTGAGCTTGCCAGGCAAGCGCTTATTTTACTGAGCTGTCTCCCCAGCCCGATGATTTCTTATATGAAAATGATTAAAAACCAAAATCAGAAGGTCAAACGTCAAGGCTGTGAGCAGCGCTGAGGAAGATGAGGCTGGAGCAGCGGGCAGAGGCCAGCCAGGCGCAGGCGAGTGCTGCACAGCACCTTCCCACAAGCACCAGCAGCGGCAGTGAGGCTGCAGTGCAGGGGCAGCCTCACCAGACCTGAGCTTTAGGAGGAGCCCCGAGACTTGTAACAGGGCTTTGAGACCAGGGCACTCCTCACTCCTGGAGGTTCACCCTCGGGAGATACGGAAGAATGCACACGAAAGCTTTTAAATAATCAACACTAACCCTTATTAAAGGCTGTGTGCTAGGCAAATTCCTAAGCATGCCACATGTGTTTTCTCACTTAGTCTTTATAATACAGCAAAAATGTGAAATATCTTAAACATCTAAAGCAGGAGATCTGGTTGATTTAAGGCCCATCTCATGCATATAATAGAATACTATTAAACGTCATGTTAACATGGCCACAACTAGCATTTGCTATCTGCGGTTTACCGGGCACTGTGTGAACTGCTTCTATGAGATTAATTCCACCCTCAGAAACCAAAAAGGTAGGTACTATTCTACAGAAACTAGGCAATGTAGGCTTTAATAGAGCTTCGGTAGAATCTGAGCCCAGGTTCACTTGGTAGCTTTTAATTCTATACTATTATGACGTATTTTCAGGAAAAGAAAGCCACAAGGACAGAAGACAGATTAGAACAGAAAATCCTCCCACACAACCAAGCACTCAGGGAAGGTTGATGCGTGACTGAGAGAAAGTTGATATAGAGCTCATTAGGGAAAATTTCATCAATGACCAGCTGCAGGCAGCTTCAATGTTTATCAATGGGATAACTGATTGATTATGACATTTATAGACACACATGTAAGTATTACAGTCCCCAAGTTATGGGAAGAATTCAGCAGAAACTGTCCTTCATATTTTGTGTTTTGATCTTTTCCCAGGCTGGCCACAAAGCTGTGTGACACTTCGGTGACATTGGGCACCAGCTCCCAGCCTCAGCCCAGTCAGCCACACTATCATGAGGGGTGACAGTGACACCGCAGTGCACTGCATTGCTGAGCCATAATGGTCAGCAGCTTTGGTGTGTTAAAATCATTTTTGATTTACAATATTTCCAAATTATGATGGATTTATCGGGACATAATCTCATCCCAAGTCTGTGTAGCAGTGTAGATTAAAATGAATTACAAGGGGCTGGGGAAATGGCTCAGTAGAATAAGCGCTTGCCTGGCAAGCACAAGGGCCTGAGTTTAATCCCCAGTTCCGAAAAAAAAAAAAAAAAATTACAGCCTCATGTTAACAGCAAAGATAAGGGGCTGGGGAGATGGCTCAGTGGAATAAGCACTTCCCTGGCAAGCACAAGGGCCTGAGTTCAATCTCCGGTTCTGCCAAAAAAAAAAAAAAAAAAAAAGAAAAGAAACTGAATTTCAATTTGGGGCCAGGGAGATGGCTCAGTAGGATAAGCGCTTGACCAGCAAACGCAAGGATCTGAGTTCAATCCCCGGTTCCGCCAAAAACAAAACAAAACAAAACACCCAGCAAAGATAATTCACAAAAATACAATTAATGAGCAAAAAAGTTTTAGAATGCCTTATTACATGACATTTATGTAAAATTAAAGAACAAGTAAATAATATCTGCAAAAATATATGGGAGAATAAGTACCCAAATTATGAATTTATCTGGGAAGAAAATGAAATTAGGGAAAGATACACAAGAGACTTCAACTTTGACTTTAATGTTTCTTTAAAAAAATATTAGGTGAAAAATTGTCTTTTAAAATGACATATCTGCATACATGTATGGAAAAGACTATTAAAATGTAAATAGGACTTGAGTGATGGCATTACAAGTGATTTTTATTTCTTACAGTTCTTTACATCTGATTGGTTAGATAAGTGTATGCAAGCCAGGCATAGTGGTGCACTCCTGTAATCCCAGTGCTCAGGAGGCTAAGGCCAGCCCTGGCTACATAGTGAGTTCAAGGCCAGCCTAAACTCTACAGTGAGTAGATACTTGGTGCAGATACTTGGGTGTACAGGAAGAACAACAAGGACAGTATATGCAGAAAAGTTACAGCAGACCTCAGACTGCATTCCAAGAAAGTTCTGCTTGCCAAAGTTGAGCTTTAGCTGGCAAGGGAGAACTTCAATTTTGAAAGGTCCCTCAGTTCCTTAACAGAAGAGAGTGCTCTATTCCACCTAAACTATTTATGCAAACAATGTGGTTTTGCTGAGTGTCTACTTTCCTGCAGAGGGGCTGGACTGTGGTGTGTTAGGCAGAGGATACCATGTCTCCAGTCCTTAATAAAAATCTCGGACACTGAGTCTCTGAGCAGATTCATTCCCCAGGTAGGGCTATCACACACACACACCTCTGAGACTCTGGTGGTTGAGCAGGAGTATGTTCTGTGTGTCCTCTCCAGAGAAGTAGAGAATCCACAAAAACCCACATGTGGACTCCTCCAGACCCTGCCTGTGTATCCTTGCAGGGTTATTGTCATAACCTTAGCCAGGAGGACTATAGGCTGAGTCCTAACTCCTCCTGTGAATTCCTGAATGGAATTGGGATAGTGATCTTGGGTAGCACTGACCAAGGTGGCCACACCACTCTGAGATGCTGTAGCAGGTTGGGACTAGAGGGCAAGGATGGACACCAGTGAGGATAACTAAGCAAGAAATGATGAACTGCATGGAAGTAATGGCCACAGAAATGGCAAGCAGGGAAAACATTGTTAAGACACTAGGAACAGTCAGGCATGGTGGTGCACACCTGCAATCCCAGCACTCAGGAGGATTGTCACGAGTTCCAGGCCAGCCAGGGCTACATCATAAGTTCAAGGCCAGCCTGAACTACATAGCAAGACTATCTCAAATGAACAAAAAATACAGGCAAGAGGTGACCAGAAGGAGAGTCTTAGGGGGATGGAAGAACAAGGATAACTTATTGGTCAACAGCCTAAGCAACAGAGAAGTAGGACTGGGAAAACTAACAAGGATCGTTAGGGACACAAAATTTGGGGGCTGGGGAGATGGCTCAGTAGAATACTCTTAGGCCTAAGCAAGATTTTCAAAATAAGTATGACAGGTATAGTCATTACAAGTATCAGCTCTGGCATCAGACTGCCTGAAATTCAAATCCAGCTCTGTCTTTTTCTGTGTAACCTTAGGAAAGTTTTTTAAGCTTTGTCTTAGCTGGCCCATCTGTAAAAGTGGAATAATATACACAGTTATCTCATGTAGTTAATGTAATGCTTAAATAGGTTGATACCTACAAAGCATTTAGAATGTGCTCAGCAAATGTTAGCTTTAGCAAAAAGTGATAATCCTAAGAAGGCAGAAATAATGACATTGTGTTGCTGCTACTTTAGATAGGTTTAAGTGTAAGTATAGTGTGAATTTTGGGTTTTTCCCAGCCCTCATACATATTGCTTTATTACTCATGGTTTTTTTTTTTTGTTTGTTTGTTTGTTTGCTTGCTTACTTTAAAATGTTTTGGAAAAAAAAAAGAGATGTCAAGTTGGCATCATATAAAGCTAAAAAAATGTTTTGGAATCCTTCTATGCCACATTTATCCTTTTTTTCCCTTTTAACATTTTTTCAAAATTCTTTTATTTATTTGATACAGGGTCTCATTATGCAGCTCAGACTCTTAGTGAGCCTCCTGTCTTAGCCTCCCCAGTGCTGGAGTTACAGGTGTGCACCAACCACGCCCAGTTTCGCTAGATAGCTCGGTGCAGGGCTGGCATGGTGTGCGGTACTGGGAATAGAACCTGGGTCCTTGCACTTGCCAGGCAGGTACTTAGACTGCTGAGTTATCTCCCCAGCCCCTTTCCCCCTTTTTATTAGTGTAATTTACTTATATAATCTATTTATTGCGGAGTACTGGTACATAGACATATTGAATCTTGATCCTTTTTAATCCTTTCCCCCTTTCTAGCAAGAACTTTGGAGTCAGGGCATAACCCACTGAAGCTTTTTGAGCATATCAAACTATATTTGGAGTTGTACTTGCAGTTGCTCAATGCTTAAGTGCTTAAAGAAAAATTTCAAAGTTTTGTTTATTAAATAACTTTAATAAACTGACCATTGAAAAGATTACAAACAGCATTGAGCATAACAGCTCCTCAGGCATCAAACCAGAAAATCCCACGACTCCTGGTCTGGGGCTCCCTACCAGGTAGATATCACTCCTCATAGCTTTAGATTCCACCAGAGGTCACTTCAGTAGGTTCTCACTGACGCTCAGCCCCACAAGCTCACACGAGTTACTGCCAGCCAAGAGTCTCCTCCACTTTTGTCTTTTCTTTCCTGATTTCTGGATGGTAGGCCATCAGTGAAGAGAATTCTTCAAATTCACCTTCTATGATCTTCCAACAAGCCCTTGCCTGCCATCGCCTCAAAAGCCTTTTCTGCTCTCCCCTTAGCCACATGCCTATTCCACGCCTCTTCTCTCCACAGCTTTCTAAATCTCCAAAGCTATCACCCAACTTCAGTGAAACTTTGTCATCTACACTTGAAGACTTGCAGGGGTGAGTCTCATGGGAGACAGTACCATGTGGTAGAAATCCCTTCACAAGCTTCTAGTGATTAACCGTGAACCTTTGGCAAGTTACTTACAGCAGCCATCAAGCCAGTGGTTTAATTCTTAGCCTCACAAGATAGATAATCATAAATGAGATAATATAGCATTTATCATACAGTTCATTCAATAAATGGAAGTTCTCTTCCTTTCTTGGGCAGCAACACCATCCCACTCACTCACTCATCCATCCCACTATCTGACAAATATTTATCAAGCACCTATTATGGGTAGGCAGCACAAACGTGTACAGTCAATAACATGTCTTGTCCATTTCCAGGACTTGAACTACCTCCCCATCCTACTTTTTCCCACTATTATCTTCTCTCAGAAGTTGCTTCTGGCTTTACCAGTCCTCTTTCCCCCAGCATCTTCCATCTCTCTAGTAGTTTCTTTCCATGCCCTCAAGCATATACAAGCCTCCTGTACCTGTCACTACCTTGAGTCCTATGGCCACCCTCTAGCTAAACAGAGGCTTCCCTTCCTGACCAAACTTAGGAAATGAACAATACTTATGTACCAACTCCACACGGTCCCCATTTACTGGGATCCCTGTTGTGCAGCTCTTGTCTCTCACACACCTGCAACGACATGCTTGAAAACAAGCAGCACATTTCTGATGTCAACCCCAATGATCCTTTCATCACTTTCTTCATTTCTTTACAGCTCTAAAATATTTTGACAATTTTCTCTTAAAAGCAGTTACTTCAGCTGTTTTGATACTGTACCTTCTTCCTGACACTAATTTAACTGCACATTCCCTGTGGCTTTTCCCCACTTCTCCCCTGACACATGGAAGCTGCCTGTAGCTCACCTTTGTACAATGTTTTTCTTGTACAGAGGACTACCTCAGGAAGTCCATCCCCACCCAGGGTTGTTTCCCACCTTTACAAAGCTTCCCACCTCCATAGACCAATCCCAACCCCTCTTTCAAATGCATCTTGCATTTCCAAGTGATTGCACATTTTGCAAAAGCATTCTGCCACTACCTCTAACCATCTTCTCACGCTCCCATCAACTCTTCTTCCTGCTTTACATTTCTTTTTTTGAGACAGGATCTCACTAAGAGCCCAGGCTGGCCTTGAGCTCACCATGGAGCCCAGGCTAGTTCCAACTCTCAGTGGTCCTCCAGCCTCAGCCTCCTGCATGCTGGAATTACAGGCATGTGTGACCACACCCAGTTGCCATACATTTCTATCAGATGTTACATGATTCCCAGCGGTCCCCAATCCAAAATCCTACTTCATTCACTCTTTCCTCCCAGATCTAGTCACCAGGTCCTTTTGGTTCTTCTGCATGGTCATTTGCATCCTCCCCCTACCACTAACACCATCACAACTCAGGTCCTAAACAACCTGCTTCAGAACTACCACATTTCCTCGCTTACTCCCTGCCCCTGGTGCTGTCCACACTCTCCTGAAGGTGATCTCTAGAATAACTACCAGGGAAGTTTTATTCGAAGCAGCGCACGGATCAGGTGCAGAGAGTCCCCCCTGATGACAGAGTCTTATCCTGAGCTTTGTGCCCTGACTTCCTTACATCGCTGTCTTCCGTTATTCCTTGAAACTGCACGTCAGTACAAACACCTTTTCAAATTTGCCTCCCATCATCAAATCCTATCTCTTCTGCGCTGGCACTGAGGCCCAAGGTAGGGAGCTAAAGGAAGCAGACTTTAGCTTTGCTGGGTAGGAGGGAGGGACCCGAGTGGGTGGCAACCCAGATTTGTCAGTTCCACCCACGTTCACACATGATGGGAAGAAGGAACGGGAGGAGCCAGGCAGCCCCCAAACTGCCAACCTGGAAGTCCAGGATCTGACAGACGATGCGTGCACACCGTAAGCTCCTGCCAACAGCGCCCAGACCCCACGGAAAACACGCATACGCCGGAGGACAACTTTCCCTCCGCGCCCTTCGGAGCCGGGACATCACCACCTTCGGCAGCTGGGTCCGCTCCGTCACCCCATTCTCTCCCATAGCATCTCCCCCAAGTTCCCAAGGGCCCGTTCTTTCGGCCGCTGTGCTCACTCGATTCCTGGAAGACACAGACCCGAAACCCTCACCTCCGGCACAGAGTGCTCGGGACCCGGGAAGACGGCGCCTCTCCAGGGCTGAAAAGCAATGCGCCTGCGCAGAAGCCTTTGGCAGCCGCGCTCCCAATCAATGCGCCGCCTTCTTAGGACTCCATTTCCCAGAAGTCCGTGCGCCCGGCTCGCTTCAAAATGACGTTAAAGCTGCGCAGGCGTATACGCCTATGAACCAGACGTGGAGCTGAACCAGATGCAACACGACGGTAGTCTCCGTAGCGGGTAGAGCGAGGAGTCGTGGATGCCTGGGAGACTTAGAGTCTTCCTGAAGTACTGGCCATGAGTGATGTCACATCACTCCATTCCTCCTCTTGTAGAGTTCTCCAAAGGAAACTGGTCTTCCTGATGCACCTGGCCCCTTCCTACTGGGGAGGATCGAGACTACTCGAGCCTTCAGACTTTGGAGGAGGCATTTTGGCCAGAGAGACTTGGAGTTTGGTTCTGAGAAAGGGTCTGTAAAAATATGTGCACTGGCAGAAAAGAAGGACCTAGTGTGTACTTAACCTAGCATAGGGAATGACTCCTGGCAGTCCAAGCACACAGTAGCCCGCCTTTCTTGGTGTTTCTGAAAGGGCTCTGGCCAGAGACGTGGAAGGAATTCTCAGCGTTGGGTGCAGTTACAATCTTATGAAAACTGTTGACATGGCATTGTCTAGGGCTCATTCTGAAAATAGTTTGCAAAGATCCTCTGCTGATTCTAATGTGCAGAATGATTCCAATGTCCTGGAATCTAAGAACCACTAAGATTAAAAAATATTCAAAAAAGGTAATAAGATGTTATTTCAAGAACAAGCCTACATTTTCACTCAAAAACAAAAAACAAAAACAAAAAAAAAAAAACCTCACTTGGGCCATCTGAGTGGGCAGACAGGTTGTTAACAAATATCTTTGGCTGGGTAATTTATAAACAGACATTTATTGCTTATGGTTCTGAAGGCTGAGAAATCCAAGACCAAGGTGCCAGCAGATTCAGGGCTGGGGAGGGTAACTTCATGGACGGTACCTTTGTTGGGTCCTAAGGTGGTTGGGGAAAGTGGGCTACAAGCTCCCTCACACCTTTTTCCATAATGTTACTAATCCCTTCATGAGATCCCAGGAACCTAATTACCTCCAAAAACTTAACATTCCACCTCTTAACACCATCACTTTGGGTCTTTCTTCTTTCTTTCTTTCTTTCTTTCTTTCTTTCTTTCTTTCTTTCTTTCTTTCTTTCCACTGATGACAATTTATTATGTTTGCAGTATACAGACCAAATAGTAATTAGACCAGGATTATGTCTACATAAAAGTGGGCAATGATAGACACCATTCTGTGGGGAACATGTGCATTTACTCGTTTTAGTTGTTTGATCTGCTTATGTCATTCAATTTCTTTCTCCATATGCTCAATTTCCTTTTTATGATGATAGATCTCATCTTCATGATGTTTCTTCAAGGCTGCCAGTTGTTCCTTAGTCTTCTGTCAGAAGAACTGCTCCTCTTCAGCCTGCTCTGTCTTCGAGAAGGCCCTACTGGTGTCTCGGATCGAGCCGGAAGAACTCTCATGATCCTTGTCTGAGCTGAAGCCTTGGGTTTGCATGGCCCTCATTCCCAAATGCCAAGCTGCACCCCTCTTTCTTTCTCTCAAGACAGGGTCTCTAGGGGCCAGGGAGACAGCTCAGTAGAATCAGTGCTTGCCTGGCAAGCGCAGGGTCCTGAGTTCAATCCCTGGTACCGAAATAAATAAATAAATAAATAAATAAATAAATAAATAAATACATGTCTCTGTATAGCTCACACTGACCTCAAACTCACTGTGTACCTCAGGATGGGTTCAAACTCCCTGACATCCTTCTGTCTCAGTCTGCTGAGTGCTGAGATTAGAGGCATGTGCTGCTATCTCCAGCTCACGATAGGGGAGGACACACATTCAAAACATACCAGGGCAATTCTCCATTTCTCTTGGGTCCTAAATGATAATGGTTTCTGGAGCAGGAGGGAGTCTAACGTGCTCTCTTCTCCATAACCCTTTGCAGGCTCAGGCCAAGCTAGCAGTCCCTTGTGTGGGTGCCTGCAGTCTTGGGCCAGTGGAAAGTGCCAGGGGTATGGGTGTTTCCTGGTGGTGTGAGCCCACTGTGGGTGTGATGCACAAGGGAACTGAGTGCCAGAGAAGAGGGGCAACTGAGTGGGGCCTGGATGCAGGGTCTGAGATTGTGCCTCAGCAGGAGAGGTACGTGGTCAGGCCTGCAGTGCTCTGGGTCCCACCATCTGTCCAGATTTGCCTGCTCTCCATGTCTGGTGCCTCTCTGTGCTGAGTAGAAATGTCCCGCATCATCCAGGTGGCCCAGGCTGTGACCCATTCCCTGGACCCTAAAGAAGACCACAGGGCTGCGCCCTCAAGGCAGATATTTAGACCTAGAGAGAGGATGTAGCCCCTTTGCCCCAGCTATAGCATCCAAAGAATCATCAGGTTTGGCTCTGGAGCTTGCAGAAATTCAGGGTCCTCCTGGGAAGTTGGAACTGGGGCTAGGAGGAAGGGGGCCCTAGGCAGAGGCTGGAGAATACCCCTAAAGGGCACAGCCTGTGCCTACATTTCTGATAGCCATTCCTGACTTTCTAGACCCAAGAAGCCAAAGTTTCAGCAACCAGAAACCAGCTGAGGCAGAAGCCTTGTCCAAAGATGGGAGCAGAGTGGGCAGAGCAGGAGGGAAGCTAGATAAACCCCAAAGAAGGGGTCCTTGGGCAGAGATCAGAGCACAGTAGGGCCACTTGAAGCCTTGTCACCACTTTCTTAATCATTTTACTTATAAAATTCTTCCAGTTCTTCTAGCTGAGCAGTGTACAAGGTCAGTACTATAGTGGTGACATCTTGGGCCCCCAGTGTTGGTCTTAGGGCAGTCGAGGTCACCTGGAGGTTTTAAGCCATCCTGTTCTAAGTTTGGAATGCCCTAATCTTTGCCAGCTGTGTATTTTAATTTGTTCATCACACATGCTCATGGTCATAAAAATGGCCAATAGAAGAATGGGACCAAATTGTCCTTGTGGCTTTTATTACCTTGCTTCTCAGTTGTGGCACATGGCCAGCAGCACAGGCATGGGGAAGCTCTCTAGAAATGCAAGCTGTTATTTTTTTTTTAATCACCCTTTGTCATGGGAAAACATATGTGTATGATCTTTGGCCAATTAGAAATAAGAACTGGTTAAGTGTTCAGTCCTGCAAGACCTGGCATTTATGAACACTTCTTGTTGCCTTCCAGTTTTTGTTTTACAAAACCTGTAAACTCTTGAGCTCATATTTTTTTGTAATACTTGGTCAAGTGCAGTCATTCACACTACTGTTAGGTTTCCAGACTCTTCTCAAGCTTATTCTTACATGAATATCTTTCAAGTTATTGCAGGCAATAGTTTTACTAAGCATTCGTCAGCTACCTAATCAGTATATTTCCTTACTACCTTGCCTCGAATCCAATGTCACATATTTTGGGCTTTCTGTTATGGCAGAACTTCATTTTGAGTTCTTGTTTTCCAGTGAGCTAGCTTAAGCTAGTTAGGCCACAATAACAACAGCACACCCTGAGAGACACCAAACAAAGGTTGACCTCCTTCCTGTATGACACTTTAGACTTGGCTTTGTCCCTTATCTTCCCTTGGATCATTTCCCATTCTCAAGGAAGAAGGAAAAGAGAAATTGCAGAAACCTTAGTGGCTCTAAAAACTTTTGTTCACATGTAGCTTCTGCCTTTTCCTTCACATTCCATTTGAAAAGCTGATTACAAGGCCATGCCCAGTTTGGGGGACAGGAAAATGAATCCTGCAGGGAGGGCCACAGGTATTTTGGAAAAATAAGATGATCTACTAGTAGTGAATTTTCCTGATTTGATTATTTTGGCTGACTTATGTTAATACAAAATTGTTACATAAACGTAATCTATAGGGTAAGTATCTAAATTTGAATGTTAAATACTTTAGGGTAAAAGTAACAAGAATTTACACTATTTTTACCTATCCTATTTTTGGTCATATCATATGGGTTGCCATATAACATAAGCCCAATGGGAGTATGGTGGTCGATACATTGTGTCAACTTCAGAAGTTGGAAGCTTGGCTGGATAGGCTCGGAGGGCCCATTTTAGAGTGACTCAGCACAGAAGGGATATAAAAGGGAGTTGAAGAAGGATTCTGCGTGCCACTTCCTTGGAGGAGTTCTGGTCTTCACAGTCAGTGTGGAAGGAAGGGAGGGAGGCTTGCAAGAAGCCGCAGCTGTGTCTCCTCCCTTTGCTTTGCTGTTTTCTGCCACCATGAACTGCTACCCTTTGCAACGTGCTTCTCTTCCTTGGAGCCAACTGAGTATGGACTGAAACCTCCACTAACTGTGAGCTTAATAAACCTTTCCATTCTTAATTTTGTGTGTCAGGTATTTTGTCCCAGAAATGAGAGAAAGGTAACTGAGACAGGGAGGTTTTCTAATTTCTGAGAATGATTAGGAGGGTTTTGGCCAAGATCTGTGGGATGTCAATACCTTGTAATGGTGACCTGAGATTAAAAGTCTCATATAGAGCCTTGTAGACTCAAGAACCAAATAATGATTAGGCTTAGGTGGACAGGATTCATACTTATCAGACGCACAGAATTTACTGATTTTAAGGCCATTTGATTTACTTTTGCTAAACTATATGCTGGGAGGTGAGAAGAGAGGTTATCAGGACCCTTTCCTAGGACCACTGATGAAGGAATGAAACACAGACCATATATATATATTTTAGCTATACAGGGAAGTGGGATGGTCAAAGCCCAATAAAGGTCTAAGACCATGATGCTCTGTGTCCCTGGCCTTTATTAGGTGCATAGATTGATCGGGGGTGTGCTGGTGGCTATAGGAAGTGGTGGGGGTGATATAGGCAAGGGTCAAGAACTAAGCATTTGTGGAAAAGCACACAGGAACAGATCATGGTTAACTAGTAACCTGATTGTCTGCTAACTGACTGACTACTGAGCTAAAAGCAATTTGGACGAGTCAGTCTTCAGCTGTAGTGTTTCTTGCTTTGAGGTACCAGGACTTCATAGACCATTTGCTGGTTTCAGGCTTGGCCTTTGGCCTAGAGACTAGTTTCATCCCCCGTGCCAGTCACAAGCTTTTCCACAAGTCACTCTGGCATAGAACAGACTCTTGATTCAATTTATTTTTATGTCAATTTATTAATCCCTGCATGCCCTGCACCACATCAAGCTGGTCCTGAGTTTTTATAAATCTCAAATTATTCGATTGGGCTTTAGTAAAAAGTGTTAATTTTTTGGCAGTACCAGGGATCAAAATCAAGACCTTGCACTTGCCAGGCAGGCACTTATGGCACTGAGCTATATACCCAGCCCAAAAAGTATTAAAATTATAGTTCACAACTTTTACAAATTCTATAAGTACTGATACTTGTGCTTTTAAGAAGCATATTTATATGTTAATTCTAATTGATTCTATTAAACTCTCCTGACAAAGGAGGTAAAGGATTGCACTCATCTCAGCTACTTGAGTGGAGAGTATCTCTAGTTGATTATTCTCAGACACTGATTATGTTTCTTAGCAGCTTGATGTTGACAGGCATATAAGTGGTCACCACGTGGGATACCAAGTAGTAAGGATGACATGACCTAGGAACAGCTTAAAATACTTTGGAAATAAACCCATAGATGTCTGGGCAGTGGATAGCTGGGAAGTTTGGGAATCCCTCTGCACATACCTGAAGTGCTACTGAGATCCCTGTCCACTCTTCTTCACAGGCCATGACTCAGGTTCTCAAGGTAATAGGCATGTCTTCCGTTTCAGAGCTTGGTAACCTTCAATGATGTGGCTGTGGAATTCACCCCATGGGAGTGGGGCCAGCTGGGTCCTGCACAGACGCACCCATACAAGGAAGTGATGTTGGAGAACACTGGGGACCTGGCCTCTGGGTGAGCCCGAAGTCTGCCCATGAGGCTACCTTGAGTTCCTTCATGTTTAAAGCTAGGGGGTCTGGGGATATTAGCTGAGTTTTGCCTGGGATTCTGGAAACAGATAATTATGTTCTCTTTGGGGCCCATAGACAAGAGTATTTATTTGTGCTCCTAGTTCTAGCAAAAGACCTGCTTCTTACAGAGTCAAAACAGGAAGTTTCCTGATCCTGCTCATGATATTTCACAGTATTTCTTCTCTCCACCATGAAGATCAGTGTCTAAAGACTTGGCCTCCATCACACACAGCAGCAGTCCTTTTCTTTCTCTACCATCAGGGCTTCTAATATCCAAACCATACATGATCTGGCAGTGGGAGGATGGGCAAGAGCCCTGTGTCAGAGACAGAACTTGAAATGGGAACTCACCCAAGTGAGGGAGTGAGACGAAGCAACATGGTACCTAATAAGGCCAAGCTGGGGGCAAGAAGGTGTCCTGAGCCCTTGCCAGGGGCTTCTCTTGAGAATATGAGGCCGCTTAGTAGAAGCCTTCAACTAAAGTATTCTGAATTTTATACTTACTTTTTATATCAGAAGAGGAGACATTCATTTTCCTTTCCAGCATTTCCCCTTTTTTGGCACTGCCCACCCATGCTGGGGTTATTGTTGCCATGCAGCGTCACTGGATATCTCAGAGTTAAGGCTGGATGGATCAACAGCATTATATCAGTAGTGTTAAGGGAGGTAGTGGGGATCAAACTGAACTGTTAGCAGCCAAGAAACAGAAGGGAGAAAGGCCAGGACAGACAGAGATATTAGGAAGATAAAGGGGGAGACATTTTACTCTTGATTTAACTATAGTCAGCAGAAGAGGTCCCAGGAACAAGGACTACTCCTTACCAGTTATTGGTGGCATGTCTGTGATTTCTAGGTGGCTTGAGAGTTCCTGACAGCCTCCACTTCTTGCAGCAGAATTTCGGACTCCAAGCTTTCTTGACTGTTGTGGGTAGCCTGAGCTAACTGGAGGAGAAAGACGTTCTCTGCTGTTGTCCATCTCTGAGGCAGAACTCTAGCTTCAGCTCAGAGTTGAAGCTCAGGAAATAAGTGCTCACTTCCTGAAAGGAGAGGCTGGGCCTCAGCATAGGAGCCTGTCATATGGAATGGAAAGGGAATGTACTTATCTCTTGTGTGTTGATACTCTCGTGGTCTTTTTTCCTTCCTGATTGAGATCAGGGTTATGAATCTAAATTTAGTCTCATGATCAGTATCTGTTCATTTACAGTAGTCCAAAGCATGGCTGTGTTTTAGGATGTCCTAGAAAGATTTTTCAGATATTTAGACTCCCATGAACCATACAGGATCTGTTAACTCTGAATCTGTCTGAGGACCATTTAGGGTTCCTGGTGGGGCACGTCCAATCATTTCCCTATTTAGAAGTATCATTAATATGTTTTATGTTGTTGAAATGAGTTACCATGAACATAGCAGCTTTAAACAACACCAGTACATTATCTCCCAATGTGGAGGTGGGAAATCTGGCATGGGTCTCATTTAGCTGTATCTATGTGGTCCATGAGGATATATTCCTCTTTTCTGCCTAGGAGAGAACCTATTTCCTGTTCATTCAGGTTGCTGGCAAAACTCCCCTTGTAGTTGTTAATCCAAGGCTCTTGTTTCCTTATTGGCTATAAAGTGAGGGGTGTGCCCCCCCCAGACTGCCATATTCCTTGGCTCAGGATGTCCACTGTATCTCTGCCCACACATCAAATGTTATCTGATATTAACAATGTATGTGGTTACACTAGGGCTGTATGATTAATGTAGGATAATCTTCCTATCTCAAGATCTATCCTTCATCACAGCTGAAAAGTCCCTTTTGCTTTGTAAGGTAACCTATCAGTAGGTTCTTAGGATCAGGACATGGAGAATTACTCCGCCTACCACAGTTCTACACAGTTAATAGGACACACATACACATGTGAATATAATACAGAACAATATGTGTTTTGGACTGAGGTGCTGGGAGATGAGGTGGAAGACATGAGCTTGTTCCTAAAAGATGTGCAGAATTTTAGAAAGAGAGACGGTGAGTATGGAGGTGTCGGGTGAAGGGAGTATGCTAAAGAAGACAGGATCCTTGGTTAAAAACTGAGGGCGGGGGTGAGATGCAGGAGTTATCCAGAGCTAATGGAGAGTCCTTAGGGGAGAAAAACAGGGAAAGGGACATTTAGGAAGATGAAAATGATGTGGAGTGCTGACAGAGAGAGAGAGAGAGAGAGAGAGAGAGAGAGAGAGAGAGAGAGAGAGAGAAATATAGAGACTCCTTCCTGAAGCTTGTCTCGGTCTGGGAAATTTATATTTGTAATTTCATGGATAAGTTATTGAAATCCCATCAAGTTAATTCAATCTACTACTTCCAGTGCAACCCACAGTGAGAATAAAGACACTAGAGCATGCTTATAGTTATGGAGAGCCAAAGGGGCCTAAGTCCAACCATAGTGTTGGCTATCCAGAACAAAGGCTTCAGTCCAGGGCCAAACATGGGTTTTATTCAGTCATGAAGAGGACTGGCTTGAGGATGAGTGACTGAGAATGACAAGAAGTAGATGAATGCTGTGAGCTGGATTAGTTAGGAGGCCTGTACTTACCTCTGCAATATGCAGAGAATAATCTGCATTATACAATTGAGATAGTTTCCAGTGTTCTGAGATCACAGCCTCTATCTTGAGGTTCAATCCCAGCTGACAACATGGACCATTAGCTCGTCCTCCCATCTTGACCCAGCTCATATTAAAGAGTAGCAGGTGAGGGTTACCAAGGAAACATGCATGCCATCTTCAAAGACTACCACCAGCACCTTGCCTAGACAAATACGCATTGCTTAAAGCCAATTGAAGGGATAAAAAAGTCCTAGTCAGCTCTGTACATATCACTACATAAAAATAGGGTCAGGCATGACCAAAATGGAGACAACTGTTCTTCTTCCAAGGAGAGTTGCCCAGGTGGTCCTCTACAATAACTAGAAGTCTGTCACATTTATCTCGATCTAAAGAAATTGTGGAGACATAGTCTGTACCTAGGTGACTCACCACCATATGCTTATATATTCTCTTTTATCTTCATCATTATACCTAGTCTACTTCCCTTGCTATACTTCCTATCTTCCTGTCATCCATACAGCCATTTGACTTCCCTAGTATGCTAGAATCCACAGCTCTCTCAGTTTTGTTTTGGTTTGGTTTTTGGTATTTTTAGACTATACAGTTTCAATATATAGTTCAGGCTGACCTTGAACTCACACTGTAGCCCAGACTATTCTGGAACTCAAAGTAATCCTCCTGCCTCAGTTTCCTGAGTTCTGGGATTATAGGATGTGCCACCACACCTGGATGCTCAGGTTTTCTTAACCACCAATCACTTGTTCATCATTTATTCTTCCTTTGTTGTTCAGTTTTTATTTTTTTATTGCTGCATGTCATACTAGTGATCATATTCCTTGTGAGGTGACATAAATACCTAACATACCTCACTTCTTTTTAAAATTCTCTTCACCTCCTCTTATTTATTACATATTCTTGAAACTTTAAAAAGCAACTTTGACACAGCCATGCTTGAAAGATCTACATACCCTTTCTGGATGTCATTTTAAAGCTTAATTATATTATTTATTTCTTTTTGGCACATGGAACAGGTTACACTAAGAATGCCTTTTCTCTTATAGACTGGAAAAGAAGACTTAAAGCAAAGGAATCATGATCAAGTCAAAGAATTTTGAAAGAATTATCCCAAGGGCTGGCCGAATAGCTCAGCAGATTAAAGGACCTGCAAGCAGACACAGGGGCTGGAGGTTTGATCCCTGGACCTGCTGTGCTGGACCTGCCTCTGGGGGTACACTGAGATGGCAATTGAGAGTGGGTGTGGTGGTGCATGCCTGTAATCCCAGCTCTTGGGAGGCTGTAAACAGGAGAATTACTATGAGCCTGAACTAGTAGTGAGACCCTGAGTACCCTGTAGACCCTTCCCTAAAATACAAAAAAATACAAAAAAACCCAAAAAAGAATTATTCCAGAAAGCATCAGTGAAAAAACACATTAAAGATGTCCTGTGGTCCTCCACACTGAACACAACCTGTGGTAGTGATGATTCTAGGTCAGAGATGCAACAGATAATACAGAGACACTGGAAAGAAACCTCAGTCACTCACAAATCCACCACCCCTAGGAAAGATCATGAATGCAATGAATTTTGAAATTTAGGCTGTAGACTCGTCCTTACATCTAAACTTAACCAGCACAGTATTCCCACAGGAGAAAAATTATATAAACAAGATGCAGAATTCAAACAAACTTCAGTTAGAGGAAACTCTCAGAGAACCCACCCTGGGAAGAAATCTTGTACTTGTAATGAATATGGGAAAGCCTTTCACTTTCATGCAGAACTAAGACACTATCAGAGATATCACAACGGAGAAAAGCCCAATGAAAGCACTGAATGTGAGAGCCTTTGGCCATATTTTATCCCTTCTAAAAAATCAGAGAACTCACACTGGATAAAAGACCTATGAGTGTAGTGAATGTGGGATAGTATTCAGCCAGAGTTCATCTCTTGTTCTACATTATAGATTTCATACTGGAAAGAAATCCTACAAATGTAAGGGACATGGACATACCTTTGGTCATATTTCATTCCTTATTAAACACCAGAGAACTCATACTGGAGAAAAGCCCTATGAATGTAGGGAATGTGAGAGAATCTTAAGCCAGAGTTCATCTCATAGTACCTTACAGATTTCATACTGGAGAGAAACCCTACAAATGTAATGAATGTGGAAGGGTCTTTGCTCATACTGCATCCTTTATTAAACAACAAAAAAATCATGCTGGGCTGGGGAGATGGCTCAGTGGAATAAGTCCTTCCCTGGCAAGTGCAAGGGCCTGAGTTCAATCCCCGGTTCTGAAAAAAAAAAAAAAAAATCATGCTGGGAAAAAGACTCTGAATTCAGCAGATACAGGAAAGCTTTCAGCTGGAGCACACACATCAAACCTCAAAGATTTATACTGGTGAAAGAATCTGAAGTGTGCAGCATATGGGCAGACTTTTGATAGGAAGACACATCTTATTTAATGTCAGATACTAAAGAGATAACCTTATTACTAAACACAGGAGAATTCATACCAGTGAGAAACCTGGTGAATATAATAGTCATGGAAAACTTTCAGCTGGAAGACACATGGTATCCAAAATCAGACACTTTACAGTGGGGGAAAGCCTTAGCAATGTAATTACTGAGGTGTAGTCTTTTGTCACACACTGTTTCTTGAAGAAAAATGAATCATTTAACTCACCTTGGACAGGAATTCTGAAATGTGGTCAAGTATGAAATAACCCTCAATGTTGTAGTTTGGTTTTTTTTCAAGTGGAACAATATAATACAGGACACATATTTTACAAGATTATTTTATAATTAATCAGCCTCAGAATCATATAACAAGAATGCAGGAAATCTGTCCACACACTAAAGACCAAAGAATCTAGCTGAGGGCCCGGATCTTAATATGCTGCATGAGTCCAACTGAAAACCTAGAGTTCATAACAGTGCCTCTCACAAATCCAATTGGAGGCCTAGAGCCCACAACATCTCATGCAGGCCCATTGCATGGATCTGCACTGGAAAGGCCCAAAGGCCAGTGGTGAAAGCTAGAAAGTCTATGCCACCAAGATGAATGGTCTGTGCTAGCAAGCTCAGTGATCTGAACTGGACCCAGGAAGCAACATTCAAGGTAAGAACCAGAGCCCCCCACAAAAGTTCCATAGCCATCCTCAGCAATAGTGAAGTCCCAAGCTCCTCTAGCAACAAGGAAAGCTGAGCTCCCATCAGGAAAGCTTCTGCAAGAGACTGAGCAGTACACCATCTTCTCTGGAGTCAGGAAGTGAGACTCAAGAGGAGGGCTATAGCTCCCTGAAAATGAACTGTAGCCATTCTCAGTGACAATGAGGTCCCAAGATCCTCCTCTAACAGGAACAGCCAAGTTTATCAGAAAAGTCAGCATGACAAGGCCCTCCAGCAGAATAGTCCAAGAGAACCAGTAGCTTCCAACAGCTCCAACAGTCTCTCCAAACAACATCCCTAACAGCCTCTGAACAGGTTCTCTAGTTCTGCGTCTTATGCTGCTAGCAACAATCCTCAAGTGGGCCTGCTACATCCAGTATAATGCTAGTTCAATTCAGCTAGGTGTTACAAGATGACCACCAGTTAGCAATCTACTACACTCAGTAATACTTCTTCCTTTAATGAGCAGCAAGAGCACATACTTTTTGTGCATGTGGAGAAGCCTTTGTGAATGTTCTACTCTTGCACAGAAATTATACTAGAGAAACTCTTCAGATTTGGTAAAGTTGGGAAGACCCAGTAGTGTAGCTTAGGCCTTAGAAACCTTCCCTTCAAAGAGAAACCCTAGGCACTTGAATGTCAGTAAAGTTCCTTCTAGACTTGAGATTCATAAAATTGGAGCTGAAAGGAAGCTGAGAAGTCACCTGTGCTGGTGATGTTCTATTCAATGGGGCCATCTGTATACTTGCGCTGTGCTCTGCCTCCACATTCTGTTACTCCTTGGGACAAAGTGGTACTGATGGGTGATAAGGATGGAAGCTGAGCACGGTGGATATTCACAGCAATCAAGGCCAAATTAACATATATGTGTGTGTGTAAAATAGATACGTAAAATATGTATAAAATATATATATATATATATATATGTAAAATACCTCAGTTTGTAAGCATAATTCATTCTGGAAACATGCTTATAATCCAAAGCACTTGTATATGAAAGCAGATTTCCCCATAAGAAGTAAAGGACACCCAGATGACTCATTCCACAACCCAAAGATATTCATATAAAAATGATAACAATACTGTAGTATAACATAAAATAAAATACAAAATACAAAGAAAAACAAATTAACCCACTCTTACCTTTGAAACCTTCTTGGCTGTGAGACAAGAGGGGCGAGTTATGGTGTAGGATGACTAACAAAATCACTGCTGTCACCTCAACAGTGTTTCTTTTTTGCAACTTTAACAAGGAACCTATTCAATGACATTTATTTTTGCCTCCTTTTGAGGATTTTGCGGAAATGTGGTGGTGTTAAACCAACAAACTGTCAAGCCATTGCTTGCACTGCTCCAACTTTATCTGGATGCTGCATTTCTAAAACTATTTTGCATTGTTTCCTACATTTTACACACATGCTTAGTCTCATTTAAAGTGAGGGAGTCCTCTGCCTTTTCTCCTCCCCTGCAGGTAAGATCTCATCTATGACCTCTTGCTGTTGGGAGACAATCACCACAGAGGGAGGGAGAAACACTGCCTCTGTTGTGATCATAGGATGTTCAGCATCACACACTATTCATTACAAGATATCACTTATCAAGTTAAGCTTTTCTAGAAACACTTGCTCATTCTGAAGAACACTTGAACAAGTGACTTGCAATCTAAGGTTTTACTGGTTGGGGGTGCTTTTTTAAGTTGTAGGAACTGAACCCAGGGCTTCATGCACACTAGACAATGCTCTACCAGTGCGCTAGCCCCCCAGGCCCCTCAACTACATGTTAGAGCTGTGGGAAGTAATTATTATGAAGTGTCAAGCCCTGGCCTACTGACCTGTGTGGGCTGGGGCAGCTCATCTTACCATGGAGAGATATAGCTACCATGGATTGAGAAAAAGGCTTTCTGCACACACTTCTTTCCCTGTGGCATGCTTCTTTTCCTATATAAGACCTAATAAAGTGGTCTTATATGGGTAAAAAGCAACTTTCATGACATCTTTTTTTTTTTCTTCAGTACTGGGGATTGAACTCAAGACCTTGCGCTTGCCAGGCAAGTGCTTATTCTACTGAACTATCTCCCTGACCCTCATGACATCTTTATGCCAGTAGATTTGGAATTTTTGAAATGATGTGAAACTTAAGATCATTGAAATAGTAATAAATAAATTAATTAATAAAAGTCAAAACCTCAAAAACATCTTAAATGGGAAAAATGCAGGTGCCAGAAAAGATACAAGGTTCAATTCATAGAAAACATCCAGAAAAAAAAGAAATTTTAAGAGACAAAGTAGATTAGTGGTATCCTGGGAGTGGGAAGAATGACCTCTTCCTGGGGTGACAGGAATGTTATAAAACTGGATTACAATGATTAAACAATTTGATAAATGTATAAAAAAATCACCAAATCCTGAAATTAACATGGGTGAATTTAGTGGTATTTAAATTATTCCTCAATAAACCTTTTAAAATAATCAAATATGTAGACATAACAACTGGTGGCCCAATTTCCACTCTTGTCCTTTACTTCAAGCCGTCATTCATCTTTTTTAACTGTCTTAAGTTCTTTCCTTGTTGCTGAAACAAAATACCTGACACCCAGAGTTATAGGAGGAAGGTTTTTTTTTTTTTTAATTTTTTTTTAGGAGGAAGGTTTATTTGGCTCAGTTTGTAGAATTTTCCGTTCATAACCAGCTGGATCCAAAGCAGGATGGCATGGCAAATGGGTATCACAAGAGGCGAGTTCATGCCAGGCAGAAGACAGCAAAAACAGCAAGCAATGAGTGGCAAGCAACATTATGTTTTCTATTTTATCCAGGCAGCTGGCATTAAGGGTAGCTCACACCCCTAACCCCAGCATCGCACCGTGAATTCCAGCCTCACATCCCTGATCCCAGCATCACAGACTATAACTAGCCACTGTGAAAAGTCCCAGCTCTGACCATATGAAGCTTTGAGGGGACAACTAGATGTAAGCTATAACTTTTTCTGTAGTAATTAATCCTAAACAAACTACTGTGTATGCCTCTTTTATGGATTTTATTTATTTATTTTTTAACCAGGGACCAAACTCAGGACCTTGTGCTTCCCAGGCAGTCACTTAGGCTGCTGAGCTACATTCCTGGCCCGTCATGGTAGGTCTGCAACTTAGGTGAAGAAACCATAACTAGGAGCTGGGATGGACCATGGGAGACTGGCTAATAAGCCCAATAAAGATAAGCTTTTACCAGGATATCAGAGCCTTGGCACTGGACCACTGATTTCCTGCTCAGAGGTACAGCAGAATAAAACACGGACAAAATATACGTGCTATACAAAGGGCACCATGATGGTGAAAGCCCAGTGAAGGGCTAGGACACTTGGTCTTTATTAGGTGCACAGCATGATTGGGGGTGTGCTGATGGACTGTGGGAAGCAGCAGGGGTAAACTACCGGCACTGATTTTCTGCTAACTGCAGCTACTGAGCTAGATGGAATTAGTAAGAGCCAAGACCTCAGCTGCCATGTTGTGCTTTGAGGCCCCAGAACTTCACAGATTGCTAGCCTTGGTTCTGGCCATTGGCTTAAAGATTAATTAGTCCTTAAACCAGCTAGAGGTCTCACAAGTCATGTAGGCCTAGGTCAGATTCTCAATTTATTGTTGGCCCAATTTATTAATTATTGCTTGCTCTGTACTGCATCAAGCTGGTCCTCAGCACCAGGACAGCCCTTCATTTAAAGTCCAGACAAGGAATGTGAGCCCAGAATTCAAAGAATAGCTCAATGCAAGTCCATGCTGTGTCTTAAGAGCTAGTCACAGCAGAGGGCAGTAGGCAGGAAGGTGTGCAGGAGGCATCAGGTCAGGATTCCAGTCTTGGAGCTGAGAAAGCAGATGTGTCTCTTACCAGGCAGGCAAGGTTCATAGGGGCAGGAATAGAAAATGGATAGCTTCATTTGCTCCTCCTTTTTTCCCCAGTGCTATTCTCTAACATTTACCCGTCACTTCCTGCATGGATGCTTACAGTTTTGTGACCAGTCTTTGGCCGGAACCTGGCCCTTCCTTTGTGTATTCCTGCCATGTTACCCATGTAATCATTTGAAATCCACTGTCGAGGCCCCCTCAGAAATACCCCACACTGCCGCTAAGACAAACCCTGCTCTTGTGGCATTTTAATGCTCTCTTTGGTTTGCCCTGGCCTCCTGCTGTTCTGGGGAAGTCTAAAGGAACACACCGCCTCCTTGTTATGCCCCACACATTGCTCCGCACTCCCCAGCCTGCACACATTTCCTTAAGCGGCCCTATGAGTTTGTTTTAGTTGATACATTGTGTCAACTTGGCTGAATCAGTTCAGGCAGATCTCAGCGTGGGGGCCTAGCCCTGCAGGTGGGCAGGGCCCAGGAACTGAGAAAGGCAGGAAGCCGCCCTGCCTGGTTTCCTGCCATCCCTTCTCGCTTCCTTGGAGAAGTCTCAGTCTTCGAGGAGCTTGATCTTTGCGGCTGGCCGCGCCACCGATCTTCACTGCTCTTTGAACTGCTAAATGAACTGCTGTTTGCCTTGGAGCCAGCGGAATATGGACTGAACCCTCCAGTAACTCTGTTCTAAATAAACCTTTCCTTCCTTCATTTTGAGTGTCAGGTATTTGTCCCAGCAACAAGTAAAAAGTAATTAAGACAGAGCTCAACTGCGGACTCAACCTCCCTAGAGCTGACACCATCCGTTTGCTCCCTGAACACACACCCTTCTTGGGAAGGGTTCGGTGAACCCTGGTGCAAAGGTATCTCTTCCCCATATGTAATGACAAGAATGTTTCTTTGCATTTTATAAATGGAGGGTATTTGGACTTGTGATAATTCATCACTGTCTTGATCTATTTAAGTACATTTTTCTTCATCATCTCATCAGTTTCTTGTTCAGATTACCAGCTGAGCTGCTGCACTTCCTGTGTTGCTTCCTCTGAGAAGCGAGCACAGCAGGTAAGCATAAACCATATATTAATTTGGAAAATAACTGATATTGTCCAGGTTTTCTTAATATACAACTTCCGACTTCATATTTTTTATTAAAGGAAGGGTTATCCTTCTAGAAAACTACCAATTAGACTTTTTTAGAAAATTATATATATATATATATATATATATTTTTTTTTTTTTTTTTTTTTTTTTTTTTTTTTTTTTTTTTTTTTTTTTTTTTTCGCAACTGGGGATTGAACTCAGGCCGTTGCGCTTGCCAGGGAAGTGCTTATTTTACTGAGCCATCTCCTTGGCCCTAATAATAGCTCATCCTTCCCCACCCTCCCCCCAGCCAGGGATTGAACTCAGGCCTTTGCGCTTACCAAAGAAGCGCTTATTCCACTGAGCTATCTCCCCAACCCCAGAAAATTGCATTGTTGCTTGTCATAGTTATTTTTCAAAATTAAATATGGGGGATTAGCACTGTTCTATTCTTTAGGGCAAGTTGGTGTGTGGATATACATAGATGTTCAGTGCTTTGTAATTTTGCAGCACCATAATGGTATCTGAAAAACAAAAGACAGAGGAGATTTGGGAGCATCCCCGGTACAAAGCTGCTGTGGTTGCTCGTGAATACTTTCCTCTGCTGACCACTGATCCATGCCAAGGCACAAAGTACTGTAACCAGTGACATTTACCTGAGCTTTGGGGTCCAGAATTTGGTTTAGGGGTCTGCATTACACAGGCATGATGGATTGGATCACTGACCACACTGCTGACCTCCATCTCAGCTCCCTTCTTCCTTAGAGCTGAAGGTCATCACAGGGCTCAAAGCCCCAATCCTCTAATCACTTTGAATCTTGCACAGCCAGCTACCATCTTGTTATTAGCATAAACTCTCAGGCATTGCCCACTCCCATTGCTCAGAAATTCCAAGGAACCAGGGACAAAGGCCAGCCAAGTTCTTTAGTATACAAGCTAACACCTTCAAACAAATTAACAGGGAGCCATTTCTTCAATTATTACTTAAATATGTCACAGATATTAAGACCATACATAATTCATGGATTCCACAATTAACAACTGCAACATTTCACTTCTGCTTATAGACCACTGGCAAAAACTTAAGTCACAGGGTTGTGATTAATGGCTTGAAATTGTTTTTGTTCTGGGCGGCAACGGGTACACAGCATGATTGGGGTGTGCTGGTGGTCACCCCAATGTGGGGATTCTGTTATCAAGGACACAGAGCAGTATCTGGACACTGACAGATGACCAGAAATCTGTGCCAGGAGCCTGCAGCCTTAAGAGGGGTAGGGTCATATCTATGACTTTCTCCAGGTCTTGGCTTTTTCCTCTTGAAGATGAAGGGCTTTATACTTGTAAAGATAAAAACCACCCAAATAAGAACAATCAGTGGCTATTTACTCAGAGACTTCTATAACAAAGCTATTGGTTGCCATCACCTTTGGCAGGTACCCAAACACGTAGATAGTGAGAAAACTTTATAATGGGAAAAATGGAGTGTCAAACATGCTCTGCTTAGAAGTTGTTGGCATATAAAAGCTGGGATGAGCTAACTAGAAGCAGCAGTAATCTATTTATCTATTTATCTATCCATCCATCCATCCATCCATCCATGCATCCACCTACCTACCTAGTATCTTTTTCTCCAAAGCCCCTGAGTTCATATGTGGGACTTTCTGGAGATGACTGGGTCATGGAGGCGTGATAACTTTTCAGCGGATTAGCCCATAGGTGAGTTTACACCTAAATAATGACATCGGAAGTTGCAGGCTGGTTGGAGGTTGGCGAATTGGGGCATGGCCTTGGAGCCAGCCAACTGCAAGTGAAACCTCTACAAACTGTGAAACTAAAAGTACCTACCTCCTTTAGGTACTGTGTCCCAGTGACAAGTAAAGTAACTAAGATATATAATTTCTTTCAGATCATTACTTTTATTAGTACATGTTTGCAGTACATAATGGGTACACTCACAGTAAGGAGTTGGTACGTGTACATACACGTCTTAATTCTTTTTTTGTTTCCCCTTCACCATAGCACCAGCAATAAACTAGATGGCAAAATAAAACTGTTAGGATCGGCACAAAAGCACAAAGGACAAACTACCACTCACTGAAAGTAGGATTTGTATTTTTAATCTGGAACAGTATGGGACTTAAAAGGTGCTTTTGTTTAAAAAAAAAAAAAAAAAAAAGTGACTCTTCACTTGGCCTACAGATGCCTAATGGGTCACTTAAAAAAGGACAATGTTTGACATCTTGCCCTTCATTTTGTATCCATCTCTTTTATCGCTTTAGAACTTTGGTTCAGATCCCTGTTCGGCTCTGCGTATTAGTCATTTAAGGAGTGCCTAAACTGGTAATGCAAGGTTTCTTACCTTAACCTACCTCATCCCCCTTCAAGACCGACAACGCCAAGACAAGTGATCTACAGGCACATTCATCTGCCGGCTTTTACAATGCCCTGCTCACGGGCCCCTGGAATGGGCGTCTAGAAGTCTCCAGTCACGGCCCCAAACCTGTGGTCACCTGGCTCCACAGAACTATACTGAACCCTCTGCACCTGAAGCAGCATCGATCATCCCATGGGAAGCAGACTGCTCCCAGAAGCAATAAGGACTTCTCTGGGGCCGCCGCCTTTTAGAACCAGAACTGAAATAACAGACAGACCCCAGCTTATCGCGCCGACTCCACAAAGGCTTGCCTTTTCTTTTGTTCACTGGTCAATCTGATATTCTCCATCAAAGCGGAGTCTTCGGGCAAGCGCAGATTGTGGAGTCTGTGGAGAGTGAAAAGTCACGGCTAGGGGCTGCGGTCCGCACGTGTGCCAACGTTAGAATCAGAACGAACATACAAATGCGTGTAAAACCCAAGGAAATTTAATTGGCGCCTCATCACCTTCAGAGCTTCACTGGAGCTGGGTGCCAACTTCCCCATCCTATGTTTATCTTATGCCCGGATTCGCGTATCACTTAGCCATTTCGGTGCTCAAGAGTACCTCAACAGGATGAGCAGGCAGATAAATAGTTCGGTTCTCCAGGACCGCGGTGGCGTCTCTGGAACCAGCCCACAGCCAACCCGTGGGAAAATAGCAGGCGCTGGCCACGCCCACACCCAGCTCAAGCCCCGCCTCCAGGTCCTAGAGCAAAGACCCCGCAGGGCTGTCTATGGCAGCGCCTGATTTAGCTTAGCTTTGTAGCCGACAATTTTTCGCTTCGCCTGAGCTCCTGAGCTGGGGCTTGGGTTTGGAGCCTTCGGCATTCATTGCTGATTGAGTCCAGAGTCTGAAGCGGAGCCGTAGCGGCAGGCGGTAGGGAGGGCAGCCCTCAAGGGAGGCGGGGTGCCGCTCGGGCGCCAGCATGGCGGCTGCAGTGCGGGCCGCGAGGTGTCTGCCCTCCCTGCGCGGAGTCCCCGCGGGTGAGTGCGGGAGTTGGGGACTCTGAGCGCGCAGGAGCGCGGGCCTCTTCTCGGGCGTGTGGGGCAACCCACGAGGAGCGAGGCTGCGGCCTCTGGTCCTTCGCGCCGCTTTCCTGCGCTCGCTGTGTGACTTTGCACGCGTTCTGTCCCTCTCTGGGCCCTGGAAAGTGAGGTGCTGAGCTTGAACGGGACGCTGCTGACCAAGGTTATTTTCAGCTCACGAAACTGCAACCTGCGCGAAGAGGAGCGGGATGAGGCCGATCCTGGGCTCGGGGCTGAGGGCCGCCGGCCGAATTCGCTGGGAAAATCGTAGGAGTCTTAGTTGTTTTAGATGCCGGGGTGACCGGTGCCCTTGAGACAGAGACGACGGATTGGAATGTCAGAAAGCACCTTGGCGGGTCCCCTCCCCACCCCTCGATGGTTGCCGGAGAGCTCCGGGAAGGGCGATCTGCTGTTCTGCACGGCTACCTCCGGGAGCCGCTTAGGGATCGGCTTTGCCTGCTGTTTGCTCTATTTTATTGCAAGGCTACAGTCCAGCATTTGTAGTTTCAAAATCCAGAGCTTCTTAAAAACGGATAAAGTGAGGTTTTTTTTTTAAAAAAAGAACAAAAACAAACAAAAAAATTCATTTTGCTGTAGAACTTGACCTGCAGTCATTTGGTGGAAAATTGCCCAGAACTTTCCTTGCCTTTGTCCATGCTGTGACCGTCTGTCACCTTTCGCCATTCTCCTTTCACATGGCTGTGGCCTTGCTTTCCTTCCAGTGTCGTATGAGATAGATTCTATTAATATTATTACCATTATTCTCCTTTTAGCAGATGTAGGGGTTAAGTTCAGGCTAAGGAATGAACTTTCACATCCACAGCACCTGACTCCAAAGTATTGATTCCTAGTACTTTAAAAAAAAAAAAAAAAAAAAGCTATTTATACACAGTGGAGTAGTATGTGCTATAAGGAAGGCTAAACTTGAGTAATTTACTGGGCAAAGGATGTGCCTTGAGGTCATAGTGTTAGATGGCATAAATCAGACACATGCTTAGATGTTGCATCATTTCTCTTCTCTGAGAAACCTAAAGTGTGAGTAAATTAAAGAGCAAAGGAAGAGGTGTAGGTGATAGGAAACAGGAGGTGGCTGTCACATGGGAGGGAGACCAAGAGATGGGAGGGGGTTAAGAATTGGGGTGTGGGGTCAGGGAGATGGCTCAGTGGAATAAGTGCTTCCCTGGCAATTGCAAGGGTCTGAGTTCAATCCCCAGTTCGCAAAAAAAAAAAAAAAAAGAATTGGGATGTGTTGTTCGCCTGTGCCACAGGCATGGATGAGTTCAGGAGCACCACACCTGGGGAAAGGGTGCAGGGATCCGAATGGTCAGGTCTGCAGGGCTCTGGGGCTGGGGAGGCTTCACCAGGAGCTGAGGTGTTCACAGGGCAGGAGGACCTGGGGGGACATAGAAGTGTCCCGGAGCAGAATGGGACGCTGCACCTGTCAGGTGGACAGCAGAGAGGAGGGCAGAAGGGCAGCACTGCTGGCCAGCTGGTGGTTTTCTGCTTTGCATTTCAGGCAGCAAGGGTCCAAGGAGCGGTTGGGGCCACAAAGTGACTGTACCTGTCATTTTAGAAAGGCAGTGACTTAGGTTGCACTGTATTACCCTGTGGCTGAGCAATGGGGAGGTCTGAATGGAGTCAGGCAGCGAGGCCAGAGTGGAGCATGTGGCTGATGGTGGTCTGAGTTTTGTTTTCTGAGACAGGGTCTTACTGTGTAGTTCCTGTTGGCTTAAGCTCACTGTGTAGCTCAGACTGTCCTTGAACTTGCAGGGATCCTACTGCCTCAGCCTCCCGGGTGCTGGGATTATAGAAGAGTGCCACCTCGCCAGGCCAGGTGGATGATGTTGTTTTGTTTTTTTTTTTTCAGAACTGAGGATTGAACTCAAGGCCTTGTGCTTGCCAGGCAAGCACTTATTCTACTGAACTACACCCCCAGCCCATGGGTAGATGATTTTTGAGGCGACTTTAAAGCACAGATCTAGTTGGATGTTGGGGAAGGGAGCAGGTGGTGTGTTATGTCACTTGAAAAGGGTCGTGGAGCCCAGAAATCACTCAGCCACTTATCCTACTTCCTTTATTCTGTAAATATTAGTAATCTGGGGTGGCTATTTAAGTTGTTTAGATTCATGTAGAGATACTTCTTTATTAATTTATTTGGGCATTTCTAATTTATAGGTCATTTCTGGTCCAGGCAGCTTGCCCACAGCGCCTTTCCAGCAGCTTCTGCTTTGTCATCGAAGACTGGGACTCTCAGCAGTGGTAAGATTCATTGATTTTTCTAATATTAAATCTTATGATTTTCTCATAAGGTTTAATGTTAGAGTTGCTTCTGCAATTTCTTGGGGGAGGGGGACAGACTGGCTGGGTAGTTCATGCTGGCCTTGCGCTCCTAGTGATCCTCCTGCCTCAGCCTCCCTAGTGTTGGCATTGCAGACCTGCACCCCCACCTGCACTTCTGTAGCTTTTAAAATGTAAATGAATGAAGCACATTCTTTATAATGGAATTTCAGAGTCACATAGTTTTCAAATTTTTTATGATTGCCACTGTCATAGTTCAAAGCTTTGAAAACAGTGGATGCCACATATTGAGTAGTTCCTGTGGAGTAGGCATAAACCCTTGTCTTGGCCCGTCCTCACCCCGGCTTTGGTAAGAAGGCCACCTGCCCCGCTTCATAGCTGATAGAGTGAGTCTTGGTCAGGCTCACTCAGCCGGTGTTGGCAGGGCTGGGGCCTGAGTGGTCCAGGCTTCCAGGCCCATCAGCTAACCCGTCTGAAGTGTAGAGGTTGATTAAATGGTCCCCACTGATTGAAGGAAGTTTTCAGAGTCTGGATGCAGTGCTATCTCCGTAGCTTGCTGCAGCCACTGAATATCATGCCTCTCCTTAACCATATTCTTTGTTATTCAGCATAAGATCTTTCTGATGTCTGGTGGGAAGCAGCTGTCATGGTCTCACTTTGGTTTTCTGCCCCCCCCCGCCCCCCCGCGCCCCCCCATGCATTCTCTCAGCGCAGCACCAGGCTTCTCCAGGGCTGCAGGGCTCAGAAGTGTGTGCGCTGTTTTGTCAGCATCAGTCCTGTTTCCTCCCATCCCCGGCTCCTCTTCCTCACCTGCCACCACCTCCTGTGGGCTTGATGGGATGTGGCTGTCTTAAAACATTGTAGAAAATGATACATGAGGGCCAGCCTGATAGTCAGCAGACTAAAGGGCCTGCTTGGGCAGAGCCCAGTGGCCAGGGTTTGATCCCCAGCTTGCCGGCTGGCTTCGCCCCTGGAGCGTGCTGAGATGACTGGGCATGGTGGTACAGGCCTGTAATCCCAGGGTTTAGGAGGCTGAAAACAGGAGGATCACTACAAGTCCAATCCATGTTGTGAGACCCTGTAGATTCTATACTAACTACATGAAAAAAACAAACAAAAAACGATACATGTACATGGTTGAAAGAAATCCCAAGAAGTAGAGAAAGCACTTCCTTCGTATCCAACCTTAAAGGCACCTGTTTTCTTTGGTTGTTTTCTTTTTGAGACAGGGTCTCACTATTGTAGTTCAGGCTTGGCTTGAATTCGTGCCGTCGTCCTGTCCCTGCTCCCTAGCTTCTGGGATTACAGGGCGTGCCACCATGCCCTGCAGCTGTTTCCTTCTCCAGGGGAACCATTGGTACCACAGTTTCTTGCCTACACTGTACTTCTGTAGTTAGTCTATAAAGCGTATTCCCACATTTTGCCTTCCTGCTTTTGTAAACATAAGGGGTGGGCTGCCCTGGGCGCTGGCATCTCGGTTGTATAACCAGCTTCGTTTGCAGTCGTCCAAGTCCGTGCATTGCCAGCTGCATACAGCAGAGGGCGTCGCTTGCCCCTTGTAGACCGTGGAGGAGCTTGGTTTGCATCAAGCAACACAGAAACCCTGGTGTAGACAGAGCCTGGCTCCCTCCCTGTCCCTGCCCCTTACCCCATTCTTTCTTCCTGAACTTGTGAAGGAAGAAAAGGCAAGTTGTCCTAGTTTTATTATCACGCATCAGAATGCAAGGGTTCCAGCCAGCTTCAGTACGTGATAAATGCTTTGTCAGGATGGAAAAGGCACTAACGTCGTCTGTGGGTTTAACTTTTGTTGGCTGTGCTGAGAATTGAACCTAGGATCTTTGCACTGAGCCTCATCTCTACCCATTTTATTTTTATTTTTTTTTTTTGAGACTGGATCTCACTAAGTTCCCCAGGCTGGGCTGAAACAGGATCCTCTTGCCTCAGCCTCCCTGAGTGCTGGGTGTGCCGGTGTATGTCACCTTACCGGGCTGGATTTGCTTCTTTAGATAGCTACATTCATTGCATGAGAGAACTACAGCTTCTCTGACTAGCATGGACATTTAAGTTCCTAGTTCTAAATCAAAACAGCCATGTGGTTTGTGTGTGTGTGTGTGTGTGTTAAGACAGACTGTCCTCAAAATGTTTCTTAAGAGGTCATGAGCTTAGTGACTAATTTTTATAGTAGCAACAACTTGATGTTTCGCCACAGCCATGGAGTACCTAACTCAAAGTTTTCTTCCACCTGCCTGCAGGAACTTTGTCACCATGGGGCCCCAGGGACGATGGTCATTTCACCAGCTTGAGCCGCCTGCTGCAGACACAGTGCTGCGTTTCTTCCCCCAGCACCCTGTTGGGCCAGCAGCTTCGACCCTATAGTTTCTTCACTAAATGTACGTAGAATGGCCACAGACATCTCCCTCCTTGCGACAGGAGAACAGAGGTGTTTTTGTATCTTAATTTTTCCTGTTTCTTAAATGAGTTACCATTTTACTTGCTAGTTTGTGTTGTACTATTAAAGTGTTCCTCACTGTCCTCCTAGCGTGAGCTATACTTACACTTGTGCTTTGCAGGGTGCCAGTTTACTTCATTCCCCTCACTTGGGACACCTGAGGCCTCCGGGGTATCGAATCTTGGCCCAGACGTCCTGGTGACTTAGAGCCACGCAGAGAACACTCTGTTTTAGTTGTGCCTTTGCTCAGGAGCAGGAACAGTGAACTAGGAAAGTTAATTTTAGGATGTTACTGTACTCACGCTGTTCCTATTTGTGATTTTATTTGAAAGTCTAATCAGGTCTAAATTTAGCTTGTCAAGCAGTAAATAGAGTTTGAGTTCCACTTAGGCAGATTTAAAAGAAGTAGGATAATGAAGGTAATTCATTATAACCTTGCTATAGTCTTCAGTAAAAACAGAAAAATAAATGAAAAAAATTAGCATTATATTAGAATGTTTTTGAAACAACAGAATAGATAAATTGGGGAGTTTCCTGAGATTCTCCATGTTTCCTGTGTATACTATTAGTTTCTTTAAGAGAAAATTTTGTCCTTTGATTTCTTCTTTGTAAGAGAGGATTGTGTTGTGTTGTGTTTTGTTTTTGAGACAGGGTCTTGCTGTGTAGCCCAGGCTGGCCTTGAACTTGTGGTGATCCTCCTGCCTCTGCCTCCAAGTGTTGAGATTATAGTGTGTATCCCTTGCTTGGCCAAGAGAATCTTGTTCATATTTGTGACTTATGCTCTGAGTGACACTCTGGCCCTTTTAGGGTCATGATACATAGCATATAAACCTTTGTTATTTTCCATTTTGTTGTGAAATTTCATTTTATTTTTCATAGAAGTAGGACTGTTATTTTTTTATTAATATCTACTTGTAGTACATTAAAATAAAGAGTTAAAACACCCTAGAAAATATAAAACCAGGCACCTGTGTTGCAGCTGAGGCATCGCTGGCTTGCTTCCCCTCACGCCCCATGCGCTGTGCCTGCTGCGGACTTCCCGGGCAGCGCTGCGACCTCAGGGCATCTCACTGTGTACGGCCCGCTTGAGACTGGCGGCTGCCTGTGCAGCAGGGAGGCAAGAGCAGGAGTGATACAGTCACAGGCCTCGTAGCTGGGGATGCCTGGCCCTGAGGTGCCATGGAGAACGCTCTGAGGAGAACGGAGCTGTGGGTGGAGCGGGGGCTCTTAGTCTCTTCCCTCAGTGCCCACGGCGCTGCTCCTTAATGAGTTCTCCTTGTGCTTTGGAAGAGTACGTCAGAATCACAGGCTTAGGGCCGGGGAGATGGCTCAGTGGAATAAGCACTTCCCTGGCAGGTGCAAGGGCCTGAGTTCAATCCCTGGTTCTGCCAAAAAAAAAAAAAAAAAAAAAAAAAGATTTATTCATTTGGCCTTTTAGTCCTCTCCTGTCTGAGAGCCGATCTGGGGCCCTGAACTTGGTAATAAAAGGCTTTCCAAATTCCAAAAAACAAAAGAATCACAGGCTTGTGAATTTTTATTTTTAGTTGCCTTCTCTCATTCTAAAAAAAGCCTTTTCCGTCTCTCTCCTCGTGGGGTGCCCCTTGCTGTCATTGAGCCCGAACCTGAGCTGTTGTCCCGGCTCTGCCTGTCTGTCTTTGGGCCCCTGTTCTGTGACTCTGACCTTAGGAGTTCTTACTCCCAGGCCGGACTCGGATTGACTCCAGAGGGCAGGCTCAGTTAAAGCTAGCGAGTTTTGCTGTTTCTATAGGAAGTAGTCTTTACTTTGCTAAATCTCTAAGAAATATTTTAAAAAGCCACAATTCTTCAGTACACGTTCATTTCCTTGCTAAGCCTGTGTCATGCCAGAAAGAGAGCCTACCACTGAAATTCCTTTGATTCAAATTAGTAAGCAGTGCGTCCTGGCATGATTAAGAGAGGACTCAGGTGCTGGGGTTGGCTAGCGGGAGGGCATCTGCCGAGCGCGCGTGAGCCTCGGGCTCCGTCTCCTACTCTGCAGAGGGGGGAAGAACTCAGTGCAGTGCATCGAGTCGACTGCTGCGGTGGAGTCTGGTACACATAAAATGCACATGCTATTTTATATGGTTAAGATAGTTAGCAGACGTATGTGTTAATCTGATTGTTCCTCTAGGAAATGACAGAAAGAGTTGAAATAATAGTAAATCTGCGGCCTGAGATTTAGCTCAGTGGCACAGTGTCTGCTTTGCAAGGTCCTAAGTTCGATTCCTGGTAACAAAGAAAAAGTAAAATTATTTAGTTCAACTTGGACTTACTTTAACTAACTTGTAGCCATTAAAAAATCATGTTCTGATTAATATTTAATGTTCAGAATTAGGAAAAAGCTTACATTCTAAGAGACAAACAAAATTATGCATAATGTAATTTTAATTGTGTTTAAAGCAAATAAGTAATGCAGTCAAATATGCACTCACATGTAAAGAAAGATTTCTGATCTAACAATGAGGTATTTATTTTCATATTACCTTTTCATATTTTTTTTTTTTTATTTTTATTTTTTGGTTTATTTATTTATTTATTTAGTGTGTGTGGCCAGCTCAGCCCACCAGGGGGCGGGGCTGGCTGGCATGTGGTGCTGGGGGATTGAACCACAGTCCCTGTGCTTTGCTTAGCTTAGCTTAGCTTAGCTTGTTCTAAGTAGGTGCTTTAGACCACTAAGCCATCTCACCAGCCCCACCTTTTCATATTTTTAAAAATAATTTTTATAATTAAAAAATACCAAAAAAACTTAGTGTATTCAAAAAATAACATGTATGATTTGCTGTCTTTTGCAAATGTGGTTAGAATTTTATTTTTCTCTTACATTTTTTTTAAGAAACTTATCTAAAAAAAAAACTTATCTCAATTTAGTCTTCCTATTTTGTGTTATTGTCCAGATCCTCTTAAAGTTGAATCCTGGGCCAGGTATATAGCTCAGCATGACAGTGCCTGCCTGGCAAGTGCAAGGTCTTGAGTTTGATTCCTGGTACCAAAACAAAAAAATCCTTTTAAACTCTTTTAAATTTTATTTTTATTTTTAGCTGTAATAACATACATACAACATGTATTTTGCTTGCCCACTAAGTGCACAGCTCAGTCCAGGGAGCGCCCACGGCTGCGTAACTGACCTCCAGGTGTTTTCATAGTGTGGGCCTCGAGCTCTGTGACCTGGATGCAGTCCCCGTCCCTCTTCTTCCATCCCCAGGAGCCGTCTTTCTGCTTCTGTGAAGCTGACTGCTTTCCATATCTCATGTAGTAGTTGGCTTTTTGTGGCTGGCTTATCTCACAAATTTTACAGACAGGGTGTAATTCTCTGTGTAATTTAACCCCTTTTATTACAGGATATTGCCAGCATAAGCGCAAGAGCAGGGCACGGCCTAATGAAGCCCTGTGTGTTCGTCACCCAGCTCCAGCCACTGCCAGCTCAGGGGTAGTTTCATTCCATTGACATTTGCCACTTCCCCAACCCCAGTTATTTTGAAGTGAATCCCACATGCCGTAGTACTCTATACTTAATATGTTAATGTATATCTCCAAAGACAGGAGCTCATTTTTTAAAATAAACACTTCCCCCTTTTTTTAGAGTATTTATTTATTTATTTGGTACAGGGTCTCGCTGCGTAGCTCGGTCTCCTATCTCAGCCTCCCCAGTGCCGGGGTTATAGGTGTGCGCCACCACACCAGGTTTTAGTGGTCAGCTCAGCACAGGGCCAGCACAGCATGCGGCATGCGGTCCTGGGGATTGCACCCCGGTCCTCGTGCTTGCCAGGCAGGTGCTTAGACCACCAAGCTATCTCTGCAACCCTTAGAGAGTACATTAAAGGATTTACTATTTTTAAAAATGTATTTGGTTGTTACAGGGCCTCACTATGCAGCTTGGACTCATAGTGATCCTCCTGTTTTCAGCCTCCCAAGTGCTGGGATTACAGGTGTGCACCACTATACCAGGGCTCTGGCTGGCTCAGCCCATCCTGGGGGTGGGGCTGGCGTGGCATGTGGTTCCAGGGATCGAACTGTGGTCCCTGTGTTTGCCTAAGCAGGTGCTTAGTCCCTGAGTTATCTTGCTGGCCCCATGATTTACTACTTGTAGTAAAGTTGAATTATAGTCAATGGACCTCTTAGTAAACTTTCGTTTTTAATAGCATTCATTGGTACTTTTATTTACTTATCTTGTTGGTAATCCAGCCTGGCCTTGAACTCCCATGTAACCCAGGCTGGCCTTGAACTTGAAATCACCTGCCTCAGCCCTGTGGGTGCTGAGATTTCAGACGTGCACCACAACCCCTGGCTTATCAGTGCCATCATTTTTACCGTGTGAGGGGGCATCAGTTCTTTAGTAAGAGTTTAGTTTGAGGCTGGCACTTTATTTTGAACCTGTGGTCCTGTGCTGTGAATCTGTGTTGGTCTAAAGTTTGAGCTTTATCTTTTGTTGAATCACAGCCTGAGCATCTGGGCTACGCAAAGCAACCTGTGGCGCGAAATCTCACACTCTCCAACTTCTTCCGGAAGATTAGCTGTATTACATGTGAAAATAGGATCCTGTATAGATATGATGCATTATAAAATAGTGTAAGTCCAGAGTGCTTTCGTTCTCCATGTTACCTACCTGGACTATCAAGGCCAGGTCCTTCAGGTAGGGAGCAGGTAGAACTTGTTTTAAAGTTGAACAAAGGTCCTCGTTGTCTTCTAGATATGATCTCTCTATCCCTCTGTCTGTCTTAGAATTTTGATGAGGATAGCATTTATGTAGCTAGATTTTTTGTATTTTGCAGTTTTATTTTTTTTACACCCCTGGGAGTTCCAACTCAGGGGTGCTGTACTGCTAAGATCCCTCTCAGCCCTTTTTATTTTGAGACAAGGTCTTCCAAATTGTCCATGCTGGCGCCTAACTGGCGATCCTCCTGTCACAGCCTCCTGAGCAGCTGGGAGTGCAGACGTGCACCTCTGCACTCAGCCCTGATTCTTTAATAAGTAAGTTGGTAATAAAAGCTGGTCATACAGTAGATGGCGATGCTGTGGAAGGCTGGAATCCTTGGAAAGGCAGAACTTAAATCCAATAAATAATGTTATTGTACTAATAAAATCCAGTAATGATCAGAAGTGAAGAATTTAAGTGTTCTATACATACACGGGGAAAATATTGACAAGCATATGATGGAAATGAAATCTGGGGTCCTATGAATTCACAAATAGCAATAAGTGAGCGTGCCACAGCCTATACACACATGACTCACACACGTGTGCACTCGAGGGTTAGTTGTCAGGTATCTTTAAGTGCTCCTCCTGTCGTGGGTTTCGGCTAGACTAGAGTGAAAGGTGAATCTGAGTGTCTTGGTTCCAGGCCAGAGACACTTAGGGCCTTGACATAAGAGTAGAGCACAATTTCAGTTCTTCAGATTGATGGGTTTCCATTGAAGTGCTTTTTTTATGTTTTTGAAACCAAGTTTAACTATGAAGTTCAAGCTGGCCTTGAATTCACTTTGTAGCCCAGGCTGGCCTTGAACTAGCAGGGACCCTCTTGCCTCAGCCTCCCAAGTGCTGAGATTACAGGTGTGTTCCACCGCGCCCAGCTGAGCAGTTGATTCTTGCCTGAGCAGGAAGCCTATATTTAGGAAGGACACTTATTGATTAGCTCAGTGGTGGTTAAGTAGGCAAGAGGACAGGAAGAAAAACAAGGAAGCAACCACTGGTAAGTAACTAGGATTTTGTGGAAAAAAGCAGTAAGATTGGCTCGCCTTGGGCTTTCTGGGAAACCATGTGATGGGTCAAGAATGATTTTGCAAAAAAAAAAAAAATAATAATAATAATTTGCTCTATTTTCTTTATCACTGTGATACAGCAAAGCTGGTCCCCAATGGCCTTTTTATTCAATAGGAGACTGTACATCATTGCTTATTAGCATTTTAAAATAAGACCTGTGTTGTTACAGTGACAGCTGAAGAACTGTGGAAAGGGGCATTAGCAGAGACTGGTGCTGGAGCAAGAAAAGGAAGAGGCAAAAGATCTAAGAAAAAGAGAAGAAAGGATTTGAACAGGGGTCAGATTATTGGTGAAGGTAAATTTACAAAAATGGTGAAAGTGCTTTTAAAGTGTTTTCCTTTGGAATTTATGGGTATTTTAAACTAGAAGCATCAGAATATTTCTCATGAAATGCAGTATGATCTGTGGTTGGTTTCACTGATTGATCAGTTGGTTGGTTGGCTTTTTGGAGACATTAGTTAGGCTTGCCATGTAGTTTAGGCTGGACTTGAACTCACTGTGGAGCCCAGGCTGGCCGGGAACTCAGCCTGCCAAGTGCTAGGATTACAGCCACGCACGGCCACGCGCCACAGGGGTTGCCTTTCTGCATAATGTTTTAGGGGCATTCTGCTCCAGCCTGCGTCCCTTGAACCTGTACATGAGGGTTTCCCTAGGACGTGACACTGGAAGGTGGAATTACCAGCTCGTAGTTGATCTCCACTTGCAAAGTGCTAAGCGACTGCCGAGTGGTCCAAGCAGCTTGAGCTCCCCCACAGTGTCGTTACCCATGCACACATCGCTGGCCTTTGTTTTTTGAGTTTTCTTGTTGAGACAGGGTCTTGCTATGCAGTTCAGGATGGCCTTGAGCTCACTTTGTAGCCCAGGTTGATCTCTTTGCAAAGATCCTCTTGCCTCAGCCTCCTGAGTGCTGGGATTGCAGGTGTGCATCACCATGCCCAGCTATTGCCTGACATTTTAACACTTAAATAATAAATACTTTTTTCTTTTTCTTGGAGGTTAAGAGCAGAATTTATTTATTAGGGGAGAGAAAGTGTCTATCCAAGAGAGGGACAGAGGGGACCTGCGTAGGTTGCCAATAAATGGTTTTATAAAATTCTTATTTCTATTTGTAAACCTTCAGGACATTCGGGTTTCCTGTGGCCTGGCTTGAATGCCCCGCTTACGAAAAATGGAGTAGTGCAGGCCATCGCCCAGAGAAGCAAGGAGGAGCAGGAGAAGGTGGAGGCCGACCTGTTCCAGCAGCGGGAAGAGTGGGACCGGAAGAGGAAGATTAAAGTGAAGCGGGAGCGCGGCTGGAGCGGCAACACGTGGGGTGGCATGAGCCTCGGGCCTCCCGACCCCGGCCCCAACGGAGGTAGCAGGAGCCTGGGTTTGCCTGCCGTGCGCCCGAGGGGGGAGTTGGCATTCTGGAATGTGTTTTGAAACAGTTTTTGTACTTACCTGCCTGGATTGCCCCTCACAGAGAGGGATCTGAGCGTCTCCAGTAACAGCGCATCCCGTCCCAGCCGTGTTCCACAGGTGGCAAGGCCCAGGACTGCGCGGGCCTTTGTCTCGTGGCTGCTCAGAGCCTTAAATGTGGTGATGGGCGTCATGGGTATGCGCGTGGGTGCTGGGTTTCCCAGACATGGTGGCCCCAGTGGGACATGGGGAACCATGTGGCCCATGAGTGCAGTCTCAGTAACAGCAGCCAACAAGCCAGAGAGTTGCTGTTAGGCTTTTAAACACAGGAAACAACAATCAGTAATACTTGGGCCAGATTAGAAAACGGAGTCTCTCCCCTGGCTCCCAGCGCACAGACTGGTAAAATTCACCTGAAAATCCTGTGCTGGCCAAAGAGGGGCCTGAGGAAGTTGGCAGGAGTCTGGCCGGGCTCCCTGGAAGTGTGGCTGAAGGCAGCAGGGAGAGGCTGAGACCGAGCGGTCGAGGCAGGCGGGCTCAGGCGCTCAGAGCCTGGGACCAGCCTGGGTCGCAGGGTTGGCAGGAGCAGAGACAGGTTAGGTGTCGGGGAGCCCATGTGGCTGGCAGGGGCCGGCTGTACGTCCGGCAGACCCCTTGATGCTGAGGTGACAGCTCGGGATTATCCCAGGGAGCAGGAGTTGTGTTTTTAGAGGAATGGTGATTGGTCATGAGTTGAAGCAGACTCATGTAAGCATAAGCTTTATTTTGGTGTCTTAGTCTTGTAGAGTTGAAATGTCCTGAAGTAGGAAGTTTTTTAAAATAAGAAAGGACCATAGAGAACATTTGAAATGCTTGCTGTTGTGAGCAGAGAGAAACTAAAGAACTTCACAGGCTGGCGGCCATGGGGACCGGCGAGCACAAGTGTTGCCATGGCTGTGTGCACACAGCAGGCAGCTGTGCCCTGTGCCACATTGATTCCGGCCGGCCGAGAGAGTCGTGAGGAGAGCGAAGGAGGCGGCAGTTGAGGGCACTTGGTTGACACAGTGGATTTAAGCATCCTGCTCATGGGGAGCAGGCCACAGTGGTGGCCAAGGGTCGGGAGGAGCTGGAGGAGGCAGGACCCAGGCGGGGACATGAGTGACCAGGACGTGAGCTTGGGGTGAGAGCAGCCCCTGCTGGTGACGGGCATAGGGCACAGCCTGGAGAGTGGCACAGATGTGAGATCCTGGAAAGTCCGTTAGGACAGCAGTGTTGAGACTGCTTTGTACGTGAAGGGGATAGACGCATTTATCTGCACGTGTGTTTCTTTTCTTGTAGAAACATACGAAGATTTTGATACCAGGATACTAGAGGTAGGCATGCCAAATTCAGTACTGGTTATGCCCTAGACAGGTCGGGTGGGTGGGGGAGGGCTAGGAGGAGCAACCTGGAGGTTTTCTCAGACCTTGAGCCAATCTGGGTAAGGAAATAAACTTCATTTCCATTCCTTGATGTTGGCTGAGTTAACTATCACCCTTTCTGGCGGGCTGCGAGTTGTCCAGGCACCTTGAGTGTTGTGGTTGATAGCAGAATATAAGTTTCCTCCTGGTGTGAGCTAATGCGGCACTAGCAGGCTGTCCCTGGGCTATGACCCAGATGTGTGTAGTTCTCCATTCAGGGAGCAGAGACCAGGCGAAGCTCAGCGCCGAGCTGAATGTCCAGTTGTGATGGGGAAATGGTCCCTGGAAACCAAAGCAGGTGGCAGTTGGCAGTAGTCGCGCTTTGCAGAGCTTTCTCTCAAATAGTCAGTGTCCCTCTGAGCTGGACTGCATGCTTAGTCCATGTTTAATATCATACGGAAGAATCATTTATTGAGTTGTGATAGCGCCTCTGAATATATTCTTTTTTCAGTGTGTTACATCATGGAATTTAAAATAGTGTTTGCAAGTGCGTATATTGGTTCTAGTCTTAAAAGTCACTCCCTTTGTAAAACTCTTGAATATGGCTGTGGTTTCCTGTAAGAGTGTCTACAGCAATGGACTCAACCTCTCTTTTCCTTCAATTCCATTTTATAGGAAAGGGGTCACCCTGAGCTAGGGAGCCAGCTGCCTTACAAGCAGTTTATTTAACAGATTCATAATTCCTGACCTTTAATATGGGCTGGAAAAAATGCTTATTTCCTATGTTCATAATAAGCAGGTATTTTAAATTTTTTATTCTCATTTGTACCTAATCCTTACTGTAGAGCTCCAAGCCTGTGCTGTTATTTTTGTGTGCTGTATTTCATCGTTTCTAAGATATCTTAGTATCTTATGGGTTAGGTTGGCATAGGATTTACTATCAGCAATAAAGTATTTCAAAGTGTGATCCACCACTTTTTTCTTTTTCTTGGTACCAGGGATAGAACTCAGGACCTTGTGCTTGCCAAGCAGGTGCTTAAGCCACTGAGCTATCTCAGCCCTACCATGTTTTTCTTTCCTGTGGCATATTCATTAAGTAGGATATATTGAGTTGTACAGTTTCAAATTCTTTGGATTGTTTTTAGTACTAGGGATCAGAGTCATAACCTTGTGCTTGCCAGGCAGACACTTACGCTGCTGAGCTATCTCCCTAGCCCCTTCTAATTCCTTTAGGAGTTATCTCAGGTGAATCTTTATAACCCTGTGAAAGAGGAAGACAGAGTCTTAGTTCCATTCTGTTCCTGTGGAGTAAGGAGTCAGCCCAGAGGGAGGTTTGGCTCCAGTGCTTCTTGCTTGTTGCTCTGGCCCATGCAGTCAGGTGGTGGCCTGAGGGGTCAGGCGGGTCCTGCCAGACCCCTGCTCCAGAAACTTCTTCTTGCTGACACATTGTGTCTTTTAGGTAAGAAATGTGTTCAATATGACTGCAAAAGAGGGAAGAAAGAAGTCGGTCCGCGTCCTGGTCGCCGTGGGGAATGGCAGAGGAGCGGCGGGTGAGTGAGGGTGCTAGCCATGGTGGCCGTGGTGGCCCGAGCCCTGCAGGGGGCCCTGGGTCCCGGCTGCTGGCCTGAGTTTTTCTGCGGATTAAACTATTTACTGATCGGAGCCCACAGACCTTGTAGTTTGTAAACATTTTAGAGAGAGAAGAAAGAATGGTTCTTCCCACTTTTTCCTTTGAGGACTATAGATATTTTAAAAGGCCTAAGACACTGTTCTATTAATAGCCGAAACCTAAAGGGGAACATTCCCAAAATAGTACAGCTGTAGAGTATAGTCATTAAAGAGCTACAGAAAGTTAATATGCAGTAATGCTAAAAAACAATACATAATGTCATCCCAATTTTTTAAAAAATTTGAGCACCATACTCTGAAAAGGTTAATGATGTTTATTGCAATTGGTAGGTTTGCTAAACATGTAAATTTTCTTCTCTACGTTTTGTTGTAAAAATTCTTTGAACATGTGTGTTTGAAATGTGTTTATGCATGGTGAAGGGGAACACTTGGAAATCTGCCAGTTAACTCATGCTGACGCAAAGCCGAGGCCACACGTGTGGGTGGCGTGGTGCTGGAAGAGCTGCGTGTGAGGTTGGATGGTGCCGGCTCATCCCAGCACTCTGGAGGCTGAGGCAGGAAGCTGCAAGTTTGAGCCCAGGCTGGACGATTTAGCGAGACACTGTCCCAAAAATTAAAAAAATGAAACCATGCTTAATAGTTCTTTTGTCTCACTTCAAAAATATCTTGTCAGAAATTTTGTATTCCCATTTTGACCCTTTTATCTTTTTTCAAAAACCTAGAGGTCACATTGCAGCAGCAAAGTTCTGCACATGCTTTCTTAGAGTTATGTGCAGAAACCTCGTTTTGACATCAGCAGATCCCCTCCGTGCTTCGTACCAGCTCCACCGTGTTCCGTTACACAGATTAACATAACTTCTGTAATCTTTTCTCTATTTTTGAATACTTATGTTATTTCCAGATTTTTACCATTTATTAAAAAACAAAAGGGTTTGGGAGATAGCTCAGTGGCGTAAGTGCCTGTCTGGCAAGTGCTAGGTCCAGAGTTCAATCCCCCGTACCAAAAAATTAAAAAATAAATAAACAGTGAGTTTCTTGTACTGTTTTTTGTACTTTTGCAAGTGTGGCAATAGGGAAGAATTCTTGAAATGAAAGTGCTGCCCAGCACTGTTAAATGGTGATGAGCGTTTCCAGGTTTCCCTCCCAGACGCTGCGTTAATTTCTATCTTTTATGCACCACGTCCTTACCTGGGACGTCAGAGCATGCTGCTTTTCAGTATGCTGTATGAAACACCTGTTAGCATGAGTGTCCAAGGGGTCAACAGCCACAAACTGAGGAGCCATTGAGTTTATTTGGGGTTAGTTAAAATCATGGTTTTGCTGTATAACAGTGTGTTTTTCCCCGTTACGTCTGGTTGTTTTAATCTTGTTTCCAAAAGCGCCCCCTCATGGGGCCGGGGAGATGGCTCAGTGGAATAAGCGCTTCCCTGGCAAGCGCAAGGGCCTGAGTTCAATCCCCGGTTCCACCAAAAAAGAAAAAAAAAAAAAGCACCCCCTCCAACTTTGTTATTTTAGAGCATAGTTAATTTTTTACAGGTTTCTTTGTTGTTGTTGTTGTTGTTGTTGTTGTTGTTGTTTTTCCTGGTATCAGGAGTTGAACTCAGGACTTTATACTTGCCAGGCAGGCACTTGTGCCACTAAGCTACATCCCCAGCCCATAGTTAATTTTTTTAAATTAAGTGCATTTCATTGTATTAGAGCTCTATGAAAAGCAGTGTGATTCATCTCACCCTGGATTTTATAAATCCACCTAAATGTAGGATTTCTAGAATGCCTCAAAACCAATTAGCAAACCTGGAGCCTTGTGGGTTGGACAGCAGGTTTTCTGTGGGTATGAAAGCGAAAGCGCGGTTCTAGGAGGAACTGTAGGAGCTCCACCCAGGAGCATGTCAAAGGCAGGGAGTGCGCCACAGTTACTTCCCCTTTCATACTGTGTTTTTTCTTTTAAAGGTTTTGCCATTGGGAAAGCCACTGAACGGATAGATGCGTTCAGGAAAGTAGGTACAGCTTTTTTCTTTGTTAACATGGGTAAAAGATAAGGAGGGTGCCACAAAAAAGTAGTAATTTGTCCCAGAACTTCCTCATGAGTCCATCAAAGTTTACTGATGAAAGCCATGGCAGGCTGGGCGGTGGTGCACACCTGGAATTTCGGCACTATGGGAGACTGAGGCAGGAGGGCTAGAAGTTGAAGCCCAGCCTGAGTAACTTATCAAGTTATCAAGACCCTGTCTCAAAAGGCAGGGGAGATGGCTCAGTGGAATAAGCGCTTCCCTGGCAAGCGCAAGGGCCTGAGTTCTAATCCCCGGTTCCACCAAAAAAAAAAAAAAAGACCCTGTCCCAAAAAAAGAGAAAGAAAAAGACCCTCTCTCAAAATAAAAAATAAAAAGGGTTGGGGATGTGAGAAAGGCCTGGCTTCAGTCCCCGACACTGCCAAAAATAAAAAGCCATCCCAATTGCTTACAAAAGTAGGAGGTTGGATGCTGACAGAATGTTCAGAGCTGCCAAGGAACCATTACATTAGGTGTGATGGTGTTATGGGGCTGTGTTTTATAAGTCCTTATCTTTTAGAACTATGTGCAGAAATGCTTGCATAGGTGAACTGTTTATAATAAAATATTTTATAAGGAGTATTTTTGATGTCCAAGAAGACATTTAAGAACATGCTTGCCTTCCTTTCTTTAGGCAAAGAACAAGGCCATTCACTATTTGCATTACATAGAGCGATACGAAGACCACACAAGTGAGTGCTGCTGGCTTCTGGAACTGAGCGCGGGAGGCAGCCCTTCTCTGGGCATCTGTGTCTCTGTTACTGTGTTCTTATAAGTGTGTGAAAGGTGGAAGCAAACTTGGGCTCTCGGGGAGGTCTGTGACAGGAGTGAGGTCCCAGCGGTCATCGTGGCTGCAGTGTGGTGACGTCACTTCCAGGGTGGCACGTGGTACTCTTATTTTATTTCAGGAGGCCTCAGGGTCACAGATCTAATCCTTGTTGTGTTTATGTTTTTGGTCTCCAGTATTCCACGACATTTCATTGAGATTTAAAAGGACGCACATCAAGATGAAGAAGCAACCCAGAGGTAACTAAGAATCTCTGGGTGTTAGTTGAAGATACAGCAGGAAGTGGCAGCATTCCTGTCCTCCCCTCTTGTTTTGCTCCCCTTTCCTGGAGCTTGTCTGGGTGGCAGCAGCAGTGTGGACCCGAGGGAGGCTGCGGGAGGACCAGGCTCCTGGGAAAGCGAGTGGCAGTTGGGCCAGGCAGGCAGGAAGAGCCGGGGAGGAGGAGAGAGCGGCAGGCAGGCAGAGGCGGGCCGGGAGTCAGGCGCTGTGGGATGCGTCGGCAGTTGCGGTGTTTACAGAGCACTTGGTTCCCAGCACTTAGCCCCGAGTATTCTCTTTGGGGATCTCTTTGGTCCCTGGGTTGGAACGCGACGCCTGTGCCTGGTAAGCACCCTCACACACCCTCAGCCCTCTCAAGTGTCAGCACAGCCCGCTGTCTCTGCTGACAGCAGTCCTGGGGGTGCAGGGGTGGCCTTTCCTGTGTTGGGGACGAGCAGGCAGGCAGAGCTGTAGGGTTCTTAAACGTTCAGATTCATCTTTCTCTGATGGCTCCACAGTAGGACATGATTTCATGTACCTCAAGTTATATAAACCTACGAAAGCTCGGGTCAGAGAGGCAGAACGTTTAAGGTTCATATCAGCGCTTCTGATAGACCTGCTAGAGCTGTGGCATGGAAGTAAATCGGGAGAGAAAAGGCAAAGCCAGCGCCAGTTGTGCTAATGCGCTAGGACGCCCCTTCTGCTTTAAAGCTGTACTAAGTCACTCAGAAGCCCGGCAGAGCCCATTTAGTTTGTTAGTAAACGGTGCCAGTGGAGTACCAAGGCATCGAGGTTGGAGCTCTGCCGCTCCCCATGCTAACTGCCCGCGAGTAGTTCTTGAGAGCTAAGTCGAGTGCCCGCCAGCCTCAGCGATGTGGTCCGGAACAAAGCCTGAGTTAACTCACCAGTATTATTGTAGGCAATACATTTTAAAATGATAATGTTTGGACATTTGGTTTCATAAAATACATTGCTAAAATTAATTTTATTTTTAAAAGTCTTTTTAAAATATACTATAAAAAATCTCAAATGACATCTATGGCTTCTGTTTCTAATTTACATCATGTTTTTGTTGGCCAGCATGGGAGGGAGGGTCCTGCCCGGGTTGCCCAGCAGTCGGGTAGAGTTAGGTCAGCCTTCAGGGCCGGGGATGTAGCTCGGCGACACAGCGCCTGCCCGGCAAGTGCAAGGTGCTGAGTTCGATTCCCAGTACCAAAACAAAGCAAAGAGCCTTCAGCTCCTCATGCTCCCTGTGATGGCCTTCCGGATGTGCGTGTACGGATCTGTAGATGCGTGCTGTTTGCACGAGTCCCGTGTGCGTGATTCCACACGAGGACAAGGAACCCATCGGAACCTGTCTTTAGCACCCCCTGATGTCCCCAGCTCACGCATGGTCTGGCAGAGCTGAGGAGCCTGTGGTCAGGTCTCTGCAGCAGGACTGTTCTAGGTGAGAACATGTTACATGCCTCCATCCACATGTATTTGGGACACACAGGAGCTAAGTGAGCAGTCAGAGGCCAGCGAGCCAGTAGTGCTCGATTTCTAGGGCGGTCTTTAGCTTAAAGTAGGCGGTTGTTGTGTCTGGCAGATCTGCTGTCCTCCTGGCCCCCATGCTCTGCCCGGGCCAGACCTAGGCTCTGGGGACTGGGTAGCAGACTGACTGTCCCAGCCCTCAGGGGGCTGAATTGCACTGAGTGGACACTTTGGGTAAGAGGTGTCCCGGAACATTTGGAGGCTGTGATCAGAGTGCTGCTGTGGGGTGGCTGGCCACGAGCGGGAGAAGCCTCTGAGGGGGGACAGTTGGGTCCTGAAGTGGAAGGTCGGGGGTGGGGGGAGGGCCTAGGGGTGCAGAGAACTCAAGCAGAGCCCCCTCCTGGAGGAGCCAGCGCGAGGAGGGCATGGATGCGCGTGAGGTTAGCCAATCGCGCAGCGCCCAGGCCGGAAGCCTTTGCAGGCTGTGGAGTCTTTTGTTTCCGTTGTTTTAATTCAGGGAACAGTGGGAAATGAGGGGCCTTAATCATGAATAGTGTTTAAAGCTCTTCTGGAAAGGAGGACAGAAGTGGGGCAGGTGGCCAGAGGGGAGTGGTCCCTAAGATTTGAAGGCCAGGAAGAAGGGAGTGTTCTTGGCTGGTGGCTGGGAGGGCTGGTGGCTGGGAGGGCCAGCAGGCACTCAGGGAGTATGGCAGGGCTATGTCCCTTGAGCCATAGCATGGGTGAGGGTGCCAGGGATTTTCAGGCACCTGCTAGTCTCCGAGCAGCCCAGGTGTTGGCCCCATGTTAAGAGACATGTGTGCTAATCTGCTTGGCCCTACTGCATCCTACTGAAGTCAGCGCCATCTTGGGAGCTCACTGAGTGTTCAGGGCACCCCAGGGGAAGTGGGGACGCTCAGGTGCTGGCCCCCAGGTCCCGCTGGAGCTGTGTGGAAGTCGGCAGAGCGAGTGACAGTGCAGTTTCCCACCCGGCCTTGCCTCCTCCCTAGGTTACGGCCTGCGCTGCCACCGGGCCATCATCACCATCTGCCGGCTCATTGGCATCAAGGACATGTACGCCAAGGTGTCGGGGTCGGTCAACATGCTCAACCTCACGCGCGGCCTCTTCCAGGGCCTCTCCCGCCAGGTAAGGGGCTCTGGTCTGGTTCAGGCCGCAGTGTCCAGGGGCTCCAGAGATGCTCTTGGGGCCACCTGGGCGTTCTGTGCCGCCTGTGGCTGTGTGCGCTGAGTCTGCACCACCGGAGTGGGTGACCGCTGACCTTGAAGAAGTAGCTCAGGTTGTTGGTTTGCTAGTGCGCGTGTCAGTGCGTGATGACCACGTTGGTCCCAGGCGTGGGCGCCCGTGCCTAACAGTCTTAAGTTTTCTCACGCCTTCCCTCCCTTTCCTGCCTTTTCTCCTCCTTCCATTTCTTGGTTCCCTCCCTTTTTACAGAAGGTCTATTTCCCCATTTCCTATTATTTTTTATTTGGTTCTATAGCTTATATAGTTTTTATTTAGTTCTCTATAGTTGGGCTTCTCACATCAGAGAAATTTTGTGGTATGTAAGCTTGTCTCTTTCACTTAGCATTATGGTCTCAAGCTGCGTCCGTGACCCAAGTCTTCCCTCTTCGTGACTGAGTACTGTGCCACATGTGTAAACACCATATTTTTTTTTTACCCATTCTCTGTTGACATATGGGACCTCATGGGTTTTTCTTAAATTTCAAAATTCAGTACTTTTTAAAGCCAGTAATTATAATCTGTATTTTATTATGAAGAGAGTATGTATTTGACTGCAACTTCAAATGTACTGTAAACTAAAGGCAAGTTCATTTCCTAAGTCAGCCACTCCCATCAGCCTTGGATGAGGGAAGCCCCCAGAGTATCCCCACTCGAGAGAACCCTGCTCAGTTTTCAGGTCCCCTGCGTAGGTGGTTTAGGCTGACACCTGAGTTCATGGGCTGGGAACACCAGGATGCCACGCTGTTCTTCCTTGAAGCTGGGCCCCTGGGTCCCTGGCCAGCTCACCTTGCTCGGCCTGGCCTGGCTCCCAGGTGCGGGGCAGCCCTTGGAGGGTGATGGGGTGACCCAGCCCAGACAGCCAGGCTGAGGGTGCCCAGCTGCAGGGATGGTTTCTGAAGAAGATGACCTGGGGATAATGTTAGCCTGTGCTAAGTGTTTGCTGCACCTTTTAAGTCTCTGGGTTTTCCCCTTCCTGTACACTCTAGGTGAGTGCTGTACTGCCGGGCCCTACCCATGCCCCAAATCTCTGATCAAAATATGAACGTGAATTACAAGATAAAGCTGTCTTTGGATGCAAGATTTTTTGGGGAAATTTTTTGTGTGTATCAGGACTAGTTAAAATATCCTTAAAGCACTGCTAAATTCAGACTTTTTTTTTTTTTGGCAGCACCGGGGATTGAACTCAGGCCCTTGCGCTTGCCAGGCAAGCACTTATTCTACTGAGCTGTCTCCTCAGTCCCTAAATTCAGGCTTCTGTTGGAGGTTTAATTGCTAGATGTAACTAAGCTGTTGGTTTTAGGTCGTGTTTGTACTCCTGCAGCCTTGTTCTCTCGTGGGAACCCTTTCCTTTTCTGTTAGTGCTTTGGGCCTTCTAGGGTAGTTACTGTGTGTCATCTCTCTAATGCCACTGGTTATAAAGTTATTTAAGATGCCGCCCAAAAATAAAAGTGTCCCCAATGTAAGTGACATACTTTTCATTGTAAGACCCTCATTTAATTATCACCTTTTATTCATAAAACAGTTTAACTTTTATCTAATTTTGGACATTGGTAAGGTTAGAATACACAGTGGTGGTAACGTCTGGACACGTGAGCTTGAACACACCAGGTATTTTAAGGCACAGTGAATAAGCCATCCCCTGAATTGATGGCCTGTGTGCAGACCCCTGTGCGGCCCTGGCCGGCCTTGTTCCTCAGCCTCCCACCCAGCTCCAGGAAATTTAAACAAAATCTCAGACATCATTTGACTTCATCCATTAACACTTCATGTTCCTAAAAATAGCAGTGACTTCATATCCTTAAGTACCCAGCGTGCTCATGCAAATATCTCCATTTCTCAGATTTTTAAGACATTTTTATGCAATTTGTTTGATTTAGGTTGCAAAAAAAGGCAGCCTGTGCTAAGTGTTTGCTGCACCTTGAAGTCTGTGGGTTTTCCCTTCCTGTACACACTAGGCGTGTGTTCTACTGCTGAGCCCCACCCACACCCCATACTTGGCTTTTTTTTTTTTTTTTTTTTTTTTACTCATTTGTTTGATGCAGGGTCTTGCTACACAATTCAGACTATAGTGATCCTCCTGTCTCAGCCTCCCCAGCACTGGGATTATAGGCATGCGCCACCATGCCCGGTTTTGGGGCTGGCATGGTGCACCCTGGATTCCAGGGCTGGCACCACATGCGTTACTGGGTATCAAACTCAGGTTCTTGAGCTTGGCAGGCAGGCACTTAGACCGCCAAGCTGTCTTCCCAGCGCCCCCAACCCCTGTACGTCATGAGTCAGTGCCAAAAGAAACAACGAGAAGACCTGATGATGACTGCAGCTGCCGAGGTCTCACCGAGATCCATAGCTCTCAGTGTGAGCCCAGAGCCTCAAGCATCCCACGTTTACTGAGGGCTAAAGGCCGGCTAAGGAATGTGCATAATTACTTAAGTGAACACAAACCACTATCTCTACTGACTTCCACCATTTGCCTAACACAAATGCTAGCTGATGACATCCCAAGCAAGGGATCAAAGAGCAGGGCGCCAGCAGGAGAAGCTGTTATCTGCAGCCTTGAGTCCCAGCTTTCCGCAGTTTACAAGTGAGAGACAGCAGCTCTCCTTGGGCTCTGTCTGTTGCTCCCTGCTCTTTTGGGACATTAGGTTTTTGTCTCATCTCTATATTTCTAGACTCCTCCCCCCCCCCTTTTTTAAGGAAATCGCCTTGTTTGTGCTATAGTGTTTCCCATTCTGGTGCTGATTACATATCTCTGTCCTTAATATCTTCCTTGTGTTTCCTATAAATTGGTACTTAGACCTCAGGGTCTGAAGAGATTTGAGGTCCGAGCGCACCAAAGCACATAATTAAGGAATTTGGATTCCTGACCCAAGTGGGGGCTGCGGAGGTGGGGCTGAGATAATTCCATCACCGTGGTTCATCCCCAAAACACATCGCCCAGAACCAGCTGATACGGATGTAATTAATGACTTTTCATTGAATGCTTTTCTTTATCTCTTGCCAGGAAACCCATCAACAGTTGGCTGACAAGAAGGGGCTGCATGTCGTGGAATTCCGGGAGGAATGTGGCCCTCTGCCCATCGTGGTCGCCTCCCCCCAGGGGGCCTTGAGGAAGGACCCGGAGCCAGAAGAGGAGGTCCCAGACGTTAGACTGGACTGGGAGGAGGTGAAGGCTGCGCAGGGCATGAAGCGCTCCGTGTGGGCAGGGCTGAAGCGGGCTGCCACCTGACCTTCCTGGGCCTGCTGCCTTCGCACCCTGGCTGTGGCCTTTTTCCACAAGAAAGTTCAACCTGGATGTCTTCATTTGCAAATAAAAAATCTTTGCTCTGATTGTGTGTGTGTGTGTGTGTGTGTGTGTGTGTGTATTTTAGGGAAGGGTCTACAGGGTGTTCAGGGTCTCACTGCTAGATCAGACTTGTAGTGATCCGCCTGTTTACAACCTCCCAAGAGCTGGGATTACAGGGGCGTGCCACCATGCCCAGTCTCAGTTGCTGTGTCAGCAGGCCCTGAGGGCAGGGACGGCATGGGGAGCCCAGGAATCAAACCCCCAGACCCTGTGCCTGCTTGCAGACACTTTAATCCGCTGAGCTATTTGGCGGGCCCTTAAAAACTTACAGTAAAACACACTGCTTTAATTTCCCTCAGATTCCTCCCCCTTGCTTCAGGGGTTCTCATCCTGTCACCTAGCCACTTGAGGCAGTTCTGGAGACCCTCTTCTGTGTGGGCCCTTGATCTTCCTTGGGGACACTGCTCGAGTCTCACATCATATCTGGTCCAGTGGCTCTTGTGCGTCCTCACCCACCATGCTCACCCGCCTCACACTGCGGCTTCTGACTCTTGCCCCAAGTCAGAATGGCCGTGCAAGGCAAGCATTTTGAATTGATGTGGGACACTGAGGCGGCCACAACAGCACAACTAAAGACACCGAGGAAAGAAGACTTTCCCCTACAGACAGTGGAACAGGTGGTGGGGTAACTTGGAAGTAAGGGGGAGAATTTGTGGAGTGTGTCTTTTAATGACAGTGTGTCTTTCATTGCAATAATTTAGTCTTCACTTAGGTCATTGTATTCTTAGGTGTTATGGTTGGTGTCCCCCAAAGCCCACGCAGTCATGGGGCGGACTTCTAGAGTTTGTGATTAACTCCTGATCCACTGGGATCATGAGTGTGTCACTCCTGGCCTGGGGCCATTATCCTGAATGCACCTGCAGGGAGACAGGCTTGCTCCCTGCAGCCATTGTTGCTGCTCCGCCTCCCTGTGCTTTTGTTCTTTGCCATGAAAGGTTGCCCACTGCCGTGCGCTGCCTTGGAGCCAGCCAGGTGTGGACTGGAACCTCCAGTAACTGTGAGCTAAGTAAACCTTTTCTTCCCTCATTTTGGGTGTCGGGTGTTTGTCCCAGCAGCGAGAGAAGAGTAACTGAGATACTAGGTTATACCTTGTAAGTACTCTGTTTCCATAATCCCATTGCCCGCCCGTCGTGCAACTCTGCTTCTGATGCCTGCTCTGTGTCTCCTGCATCTTTTGCCTGGGAGCTGCACATGATGCACTGCGTGGAAGGCGCCCCCTGGTCTGGGCTGGAGTGATGTAGGGAGGTGAGGTGTGGGGCAAGGGAAGCTTCAGATTTCACCGGGTCCTGGTTGTCAGTGAGCCTAGTGGGTTTTCACGCTGGGAACCTGGAGGCGGAACTCCCCCGAGGGCAGGGGCCCCTAGTGCGAGGCCCCTGGAGTTTCCAGGTACCTGACTTCCGCACTGAGCCATGGAATTCATCAGCCGCCATGGGCCCTTCCCAAGATGTGTGTGTAAACGTTCACAGTGGGCAAACCCTGGAAAGTGCGCAGAAGCCTGTCCGCAGGTGGATGGATACAGGGACCTCCCACAGGCCGGGCCTGGTTGGCAGAGCCGTGTGGTAGTGGTACCAGTTGGTTAGCAGCAGTAGGCAGGAGCCAGCCGTGACTAGATGAATCCTAAAATCTGTATGGAGAGCGAAAGCAGCCAGAGCGTCCTGCCCAGAGACCTGCCATGTGACTGCATTCGCGCAGCGTTCTAGGGCCACCCGCTCATCTGTCGTGCCAGGAAGTGGGGCCAGTGGTTACCTGGGAGTGGGAGGGAGCAAGATGGGCCTGAGGGGGTGGCTGGAGAGAGGGAAAGAGACAGGTACGTTCAGTGTGCTGGTTGTGGCGATGGCCTGGCAGTGGCTTCATATCAAGACTTACGGAAGAATACACCTTAGTATGCAGATCACTATTTAAACTTCATTGAAACCTTGAGGCTGGGGATATAGCTCAGCAGCATAAGCACCTGCCTGGCAAGTGCAAGGCCCCGAGTTTGATCCCCAGTACAAAAAAAAAACTTCAAAAGTTAGTTACAACCTCCAGGAAGCAGCGAGGGCGCCTCAGACAGTCCCTGCTCTTTTATGGAGCGCTGCAATGTAGAAGTTCCTTTCTGGGAAGCCTGTCTTTTGCACTCAGACCCGACCAGGTCACTCCTGTTCAAGAGTGAGGCATGGGATCTCTGGGGGTTGGAAGCACCAACTGGTAATCATTGCACAAAGCTCCCAGGTTGTGATACAAATCCTGTCCACCCACCCCTCGCTGGTTGCATCAAGTCTGCCAGGTTGGGCCCTGACTTGCATTCCTCCTGCCTCAGCCTCCCAAATGTGGCTGCTAGCTTCCAAGAGTCACATTTGCTTCTCTTGGGGTGCGGTGGGACTCAGACATTTTTCAGGTATGATTGTGCTTTCAGACAAGCACATCACAGCCCCAGGTGTGAGGCTGGCCCCAGTCTGCCTTCTTCAGAGCAAATAGTGAGTGCCCCATCGCGCAGGTGTGGCATTTCAAGCCCTTGCTGCCCTCCATGCTGACAAGCTTTGGCTCTGTGTGGGCTGGGTGGGTGCGGAGAGTGGGGACTCCTGGCTTGCAGCTTGCATGAGGAGTGGGCCTGCCACAGGCACGGTGCTGCTGAGACCTAAGAGGCCCCTCCAGGAAGAAGTGACTCCGTGTCTTCGCTGCTCAGCGATGGCGCTGGCAGCTGTAACTGCGGCCAGGCTGGGGAGAGGCCCCTGTGCTTTTTCTTTGTAATTGAGTTAGTGGAGGCTGAGGCAGGAGAACTGCTGTGAGTTGGAGGCCAGCCTGGACCACACAGTGAGTTCAAAGCCAGCTTGAGCTACATAGTAAGACCCTATCTCAGAAGAAACATAAATCAGTGATGCTGGACCCTCAGAGATCTGGTCATTATTTTGCTGGTGATGGCGACCCTCATCCCCACCAGGTAGTAATGTCGCCCGGTGCGCGTGTCCTGTGGCCTAAGTGTTTTCACAGTGAGCGTGGTAAGGGCTGACGGCTAGGGCGCACCTATGCACTAGACAAGTACTATGATCAGCTTCCGCACGTAAACTGAGAGCTTGGAGCGGGCGGGCCCTGAGATGCCACTCAATTGTGCAGGTGTAGAACACCTGTGTCTAAACATGGCCTTCCAAAGGGGCAGTGGGTGCCCGAGCACAGTTCCTGTGTGCTCCTCCGAGGACACCATCATGTGTCCCCAAGTGGGTCAGACACCCAGGGGTTATCAGGAAGTGGCCAAGATCAAGTGGGCAACCTGGTGGTTAGGGGCTCGTAGAGGACAGACCAGCACAGAAGAAGCATGAACTCAGTATTCAGTGAACAAACAAGTAACACTTTTGTGAAGGGTTGTGACTCAAGGTTGGCCTTCTTCTTCTGGGTCCTCAGTTTCCCCATCTATAAAGCAAGGGGGCAGACCATGGGGCCACTCACTGGGCTGAGCCCACAGCCTCGTGGCCACACCTTGGCCACAGCCCTGCCAGGGCAGAAGATCAGCCCCAGTAGAGTGCTCACAGATGGGCGTCCCGTGGGAAGGAGCTGGCGTAGCTGGCTCTCAGGGCTTGCCCATGGTGTCCAGACAGCAGGGCTGCTTTATTTTTGTCTCAGCCCTGGAGAGCAGCAGCCATTTGTCCCTAGCAGATAGCCCAGAAGTTTCCTGGCTAGGAATCCTGCGGATAGAAGTTAGGAGCAGTGCAGGCTGGAGTCTGCCGCACAAATGCTGTTTCCTCTTAAAAACAGTGCCCATCCCAGGGCCATGTGCTCACCAAGCCCCTGTTTGCTTGGCAAGTGCTCTTTGAACCATTGCATCCTTGGGCCAGGGAGGCAGCCGAGTGAGCAACCTCCACTTCCAGGGACTGGGCAGGGAGAGGTGAGAATCTGCCAAGGTCATCCCTGAGTCGTGCTGTATGTGGCTCTCAGGAAACCCTTCATGCCTTGGGAGTTTTATGTCACTTGGGCCTTTGGTAAGGCTGGAACCATAGCAGTCTTCAGAGGAGCTCCCATGGCTGCCCTGGGCCACTCCCTCCCAGCTTCCCCTGGGTGACAAGCTCCCCTCCCCTATGTGGGCTCCTCCAGTCCTGGTGGGGATGCTGGTGCTGTTGCCTCTCTCAGCTCCAGCCTGGGGAGCAAGGCTCACTTTGGACCTCCATGCCAAACCCCCTGCCCTGGGGGCTCTGCTCCTGCCCATGCTGTGCCCAAGCTGGGTGGGGAACTCCAATAGCCCTCAGCCTCTGCTCAGGGTTGGGCGGCCCCTCCTGTCCCCTCAGGGTTGACCTGGCCAACCTGGGGCCAGCTCTCCTCCCAGAGCTGGTTTCCTCCAACAAAGAGAAGCAGCGCCCTCCCTAGGTTCCATTTGGTTTCTTCCTTCCTCTGTTGAAACAAACACAAACGAGAAATTGCTCCCAAGGAAACACCTTCAAAGCCCTGGAGCAGGAAAGAGACTTGAGGGGTTCAGAGAAGGAGGCAGTCAGAGCTATTGGCTAAACTTCAGAGAACAGAAACAAAAGCAGAACTCGGAGGGTTCTGTCAAGCAGCTTTGAGCAAAACAGGATACTGGCTTGCAGGAGCAAGAACAAACAGACTTCTGAAGTGTTTTTGAGAAGGTGGTGGCTCTTTTTAGTAACCGCATGTACTCAGGACCAAGTAGGATTTCCCAGCTGGGAAGAAGGGAATGATGGAAAGATAGTTTGGGAAGATGCAGTCTCTTACCCCACACACACTTCAGGGATCCTGTGTGTTTAAGATGGCTTGGCCAGAGCTCTTTGTGCTGTTGGGACTCAAGGAACATTTGCTCTTCTCTCAGCAGAGAGCCCCAGTGACTTGGGGCAGCCACTGTTGGTTTGAAACTGTGACTCAGACATTGACCACAGAACACGAAATCTGTACCGTCCGCTCCCACATAGGGATACGCCACGAGGTGGGCTGAGGTGGGCCACAATGGAAGCTAGGTACCGAAGGCCTGTTTGTCGTATCTTTATGGG